CTCGCCCCCTCCTACTTTCCAAACCGTGGTTGTCTTTGCCTCCCTCGGAATTCCGCCTGATTCGAGCGAACAGGGTCCGATCGGAGACCGGAGGTTGGGTTAGCAAAACGTCGCCCGTCAAATCACGCCGGATGAGCTCGCGGTCCCACTGTGTTTCCTGTCCTGTCTACGTGTTCGACTGCTCGACAGACGACAGAACCCCGACACTTCTTCACTTCCGGCCGTGACTTCCATCGAGAGACACGGGCAATTGATGTGTCTCAGTCTCGCTGGATGCTGCTGAGCACCCGGTGGTGGTCCTGACGTTTTCTTCTCGAACAATCCAGCTACAATTCGCCCGAGATGCCTCCGTCCACCACGTCGGCCGAGGTCTCGACTGCTCCGCTCGCCGATTACTTCTGGATTGCCGGAGTCGATGGGAGTGAGATCCTCGATACCTTCCGCAAGCTCGGGGAGGATTATAAGACCAGCGGGGCTGCGGCCCCTGTCAGTACCGATACCATCGAGGAGGATGCCGACGCAGAGGAGGCGCACGACTCGCGCCCGCCGTCCATGGGGGGTTTGCGGGCGTCTTACCAGCAGCTCTTCTCCAAGTTGTCCGCCGATCCGCGACTGTCCACTCGCTCGGGGGACCCGTTCGGTCAGAATGGCGGCGGCGGCGGCGGCGGTGGTACCAACAGCAATCGCAGCAGTCTGTCTACCATCAAGGGCACTCAGTCGCCCCGAGGCTCCTCCTTCTTCACCGAAGATTTCGACTTTGACAAGGCTCTGCTGAAGTTTGCCTCGGAGCGCGAATCGTTTCTCTCCGATCTGAGTCTCAGCGCCGGCGCCATCACCCCGCAGCGGCCGCGGTCCCGACTACGCACCCAGAAGATCGTCTCGGAGGACCCGCCCTCGCAGTCGGCCAGTCTGCTGCGTTCGGGCATCGGCAGTGTGCGTCGACATATGGCGTTTAGGGACATGAACAGCATGAAGAGGCAGCCATCGCTCGCGCGACAGGGTAAGCAGCATCCCCGCTTGTGTCTTGTATTATTAGACTAACCCCGGAATCTCAAAAAAAAAGCATCCGTGCGGACATCACGACGCCTGAGTAACTACAACTCCGTCATCCCTGCGCCGCAGCCGCTGGAAATATCGCCCAGCATGCATCCGCTCAAGCGCCGGTTCGAACCTGTCCTCCTCGACCGATATCCTCCCAAAGGCGTGCCAGATGAGACCAAACAACGCGGCTCCTTTCCGGACTATGTCCCCATGTTTGCCTTTCCCAACGATATCAACATCGTCTCGTCCGACCAGCGGCCACGCTCCACCTGGCACGGGTTTGTCATGACCACCGACAACGGGTCGCGGTTACACGCCATCTGCGTCATCATCTGGATCCCCCTGAACCCGCACGCCGCCGAGGAATTGGAGAAGCGCTGCGAGGAGTGGAGGAAGGACAACATGACCGACGAGGAGAGAGAGCTGGCCGCCAGCCTGGGCGAACGCTTGGCCCTGGAGCGCGCCAAACTCTCCCGCCTTCTCGCTCAACTGCCCACCGTCCCCTCGGGTTCTGAATCGCGCGAGCAGCTCGAAGATGAGATCAGCGCCGTCGAGGAGAAGATCGGCCTCATGACCGACCTCCTGCGTCCCGTGCGCCACGGTGCCGCCACCAAGATCGAAGGCCTGACTGACGGCGACACGGGATTCTGGATCCCTCGCGCCTATGGCATCCTCGGCCGCGAAGGGACCATGACCAGTTTCTGGAAGGAATGGCTCAAAGCCGTCATCGTCCCCATGACGGATAGTACCATCCTCCACGTCCCATCAAGCTCGCCTCGTGTCGGCGTCTGGCAGCCGCTCGAGCGCTATGTCATGAATCTCTGCACCGAGGCCTTCTGCCCACTCTCCTCCAAGACCCAGGTCGAACTCGCCGTCAGAGAACTTCGTCTCTTTGCGCGCAAGGAAGCAGTCAACGAGCTTCCAAACGCTCGCAACGTATGTGGAACCCTCCCCCCGACGCCTCTGTTATCGGCCATGGCTTGCTAACATCCAATTTTTCATAGACCGACCTGTATGCTTTGTTCCGCACCTTATCCCTACCCAACATCATGATTCTTCTCGAGGTGAGATTTCTCCATCCTAAACAGATATATATATATATATATATCTCTAATTGGCAACTTTCTAACGCACGGGCTTGGCCCCCTCCAAAAACAGTACGCTCTGACCGAATCTCGTATAATCCTGTTGTCTTCCCATACCTCTATGCTTCATCTCGCGAGCAAAGCTCTGGTGGACCTGTTGTTTCCGATTCAGTGGACAGGTGTACTGATCCCCGTCCTGCCGGCTCGATTGATCCAAGCCCTCGAGGCACCTTGCCCCTACATAGTCGGAATCGAACGCCGATATGAAAAAGTCGAGCTGCCGTCGGATGACTTCGTTCTTGTGGACCTCGATCAGGATATGATCGAGAGTACCGTCCGTCCGACCCCTCTGCCCCGTCATCAACGTCGTAAACTCTTGTCTCTCCTACAGCTGGCCGCGCCGCATCACAGCCGGTATGGCGTTCGTGTCGGCCCGCCCGCGTATGCGATCGAATGCTTCCCGTTCGACTTGTTCTCGTCGGAAAACCCATCCATCTTCAACTCCCGAGCGCAGCCCACCCAGCTGTCCAAATTTGTCAGTCTCAACTCGAGCGCCTTTGGGCAGAGCGCCATCCCGCCCGGCTCATACCAACCGCCAATATTCAACGCCTACCTGCATGCACGCAACGAACACGCCTCCTCGCGAGGATACTCCTCCAAGGGAGTTGACCGGCCGGGGACCAGCTCCACCACCAAAACGAGTTCTCCGCCCTCCCCGCGGACCAGCTCTCCTACCTCGGGCCATTTCCCCCCGTTGCCCAGCACTCCGGCGTCCCGCAACGACTCGGGAATGGCCCTGCAGGCCTCACTGCGGGAGAAGCGATCCGGTCATTTTGACGCGGCGTCACGAAGGAGCTCCTCGTTCGGGGTGGACATGCGGCAGGGTGTGGCCCGACGGCCCAGCGCCCCCTTCCTGGGCCACACGTCGAACCTGTCAGTAACCACGCTGAACACGGACTACAACCCGTCCTCGACGTATGCCCCATCCGTGTATGCGCAGTCGACCATTGCGGCATCGACGATCGTGCCGCAGGCGTACGCCCAGCCGGTACATAACTCCGAGGGCATCTGCTGGGTGGAGGGCCACTGCTTACAGCTCTACCCGTGGGATGAGAAGCACACGTGCGCCATCTGCGACGAGCGGGCGGAGGAGGGCATGTTCCGATGCACGGCCTGCAAGACCACGGTGCACAACCGATGTGCGAACCAGATCTGTCTCGTGTGCCCGGCGGCCTTCCATCCGGAGCAGATCCGCGCCGCGTTTGTACGCTGCTTTGCCAGTCTCTTCTACACCTACAAGAAGTTCATGCAGCCGGCGTCGGGAGACAAGAAAAAGGCCGGGCTCACGTATAGTTTCAACATGGATGCGTTTATGAAAAGTCTGCCGAGCGAGCATGCCGAGTATATTGGAGTGTTGCAGCAAACACAAGGTAATTCATTCCCCAATGAAAAAAAAGAAAAGAAAAGAAAAGAAAAGAAAAGAAATTCCTGGCTAATCAAGCAGGCTTCAACGAGTTTATCTGTGAGCGAGAGCGCGTAAACCCGAAATCCAAAGACCCCCGCCTCATCTTGTTCGACGAGATCATCCTCTCCAAACGCAACCGTGGCCGCTCATCGATCTTCTCCGGCCGAAGCATGACCGACTTTCTCTCTGATACGTCCAACCACCTGTGGCGGACGGCCAGTGCGAGCTCGTTCCCGTCAAGTAGCCGAAGCCAACACAATCTGTCTGGGGACTATTCTCAAGTCGTCACCAGAGGTGCGAAGGCCCCCCCCTTTCTCTCTAACCCGACTTGTTCTCTCCAATGCTGACATGCAGTAGCCCCAGCCAAATTAGACCCAAGTCTCATGAAAGAACCCCGCATGGTTCACGGAGCCCCCCGGGTCTCCAAGACCACCAACAATGCCCGCAGGAAACCACTTCCGAAGATGATGAACGGCCTGGCTATCTCACCTCCTTGATATCTCCCACTCCTCAAATCTTCACGAAACCTCCTCAAACCGCCACCTCGTCATTCCTAGAACCACTTGAGGATATGTGCAAACTGCACTCGGCAATGCAAGCATGCATACCATGCATGCATGCCATATTACCTACCCTCCAAAGTAAACAGTGATACTTACGAAGTACCACTGTGACACTGTCTATCACCTCCCCTCTTAAAAAAAGAAAAAGAAAAAAGAACTGATCACAGAAAGTACTGTCTGTTCAGTTCTTCCCCGTCCCTTGGGTGTCGGTACATTTGCCCTGGAGGTTGGAACCGTCTATACCGAGGACCGCTTAATTACATTACACACTCCACATATTCAGTTGATAATTTAATATTTTGGATGGACCCTTCCTCTGCGGCTCCTTTTTGACCTGTTATGCCAATACCCTCGTTGCACCCCGAGTGCTGTTTGTATATAGCTAGAGAATATAGATTGATCTAGCACATAGACTGAAGGCTCAGTACAACTAATTACCACTACATACTCCGTATACTCCTATCTACTATTCTATTATTCTATTATTCTATTATTCTATTATTCTATACTTTCATTGGCGGAGAATTCCCTCCGAACCAGTGGGCCCAGCGCCTCCTCGCTCTCCGCCCGGGGGAATTCTGCCCGTCCACCTGAACAACTTCATCTCCTGCCATCCACTCCCTGTTTGGTCTCCATCCCGTCCAGCTGTCCTGATCCAGTGGCCTCTCTGACTCTCTGTGTCTCAAGCTCCGTCTCGTCTCTCCGTTTCGTCTGTCGTTTGTCGCCTATTGTCTGTTGTCTGGTGTCTCCGCTTGGCTTTCATTCCGCCCGTCGTTTATCGCCCGTTTATCGCCCCCCGAACGAGGAGGAAAAAGCGTCCTGGGGGGGAAGGGGGGGGGAAGGGAAATCCTCAACCTTCAAGATACCTGGATTCTTCCGATTATGCTGGTCGTGTCTTGATCGAGTATTGAATACGGAGTACATGGTACTACAACTACTCTACAACTACTCTACTACTACTCTACTACCACTCTACTACTACTCTACTACTACCACTTTACTACCACTACTCTACCACTCTACCACTCTACGAGATTGTACTAGATCTTGGAGGTTATACATATTCAAGCCTTTATCATTCGCCAATGGAGTCTGGCTAAATTCTCTCGCTCCGGCTCTCTCTCCGTCTCTCGTCTTTCTCTCCTTTAACTCAATATACCTCAATACATCCACTCCATATTCTCTCTCAAATTCTCCCTAGCCACCAGCTTTATTATTTCTGTCATAGCATACTGTGTCAGTGTCAGTGTCAGTATCAGTGTCAGTGCCACCCGTCGTCATACCTGCTCAAGCATGAAAAGGCGCAGAATTGCTGTGCGATGATGCAGACTGTCCTTCAGCGGCCGATGGCTCCCACATTACTCGAAGACGTTCCTCCGTCGCCCCTCGCCCCGGCCGTCAAGAGCTCGCTGAATAACCCTCCGCTGGTCGAGACGACTGCAGAATCGGCCCACAAGACGGTCGTCGTGGTCTTTGGTCAAGGACAGGAGAATATCGTCCCGCTCGTTGCCGAGGTTCTGGGGAAACCATGGATCACCACCTCGGCGGTTCCACCGCTCGCTGAAAGAAATGGGAGTATTAGTCTAGCGGCGGCGGCCGTCGTCGGCGTTCCTACGAGCGAGCTGCCGGGAATCCTGGACGCCTGTGTCGACAGGGCTTCGTGGATCGTGATCAACACCCACCGGGTGGGCGGCGGCGACGCTGCTCCGGCCGAGGAGCTCACCGACCGCTGTGACTACGAGTTTCTCTACCCCGACAGCAGCCCGTTCTTCCGCCGCGACCTGACTCGCTTCCTGGCTTTGATCCTGGGCCAGACGCGTGCCCACGAGGACCTCAAGACCAAGACCCGTACCAACTTCATCTCCACCACCTTTCCCGACGTGCACGCTGCCCTGCCAAACCTGGACATCCTGTCTGTCGGCTCCGACGCCGTCGAGATCCGTGTCGATCTCCTGGTCGAGCCCTCCTCCGCTGCGGCTGCGGCTGCGGCTGCGGCTGCTGCCACGGCCACCACCGTCCCCAGCCTGCAGTATGTGGGCCAGCAGCTGATGATCCTGCGCCAACACACCGAGCTGCCCATCATCTTCACGACACGTTGCACCCGTGAGGGCGGCAAGTTCCCCATGGACGACCCGGACCTGTTCTATCGGTACCTTCGGCGCGCGCTCAAATGGGGGGTCGAGTACCTGGACGTCGAGCTGTGGCTGCCGGAGCCGATCCGGCAGCGGCTGGCCGAGGTCAAAGGCCACACCGTCATCATGTCTGCCTTCCATGACTTCTCGGGCCACTGGAAGTGGACGTCGCCCGAGGCGCCGCGCATCTTCGCCGAGAGCGCCCGCTACGCCGACATCGTCAAGATGATCGCCATGGTCACGCGCATGGAGGAGAACTACGAGCTCGAGTACTTCCGCTCAACGATCAAGGCCCAGTACCGCGACAACCCGCCGCTGTCGGCGGTCAACATGGGCCAGCTGGGCCAGCTGTCGCGCGCCCTCAACACCGTCTTCTCGCCCATCACGCACCCACTGCTGCCCATGATCGCCGCGCCCGGCCAGCTGACCGCCGCGGAGATCAACGAGGCGCTGCATATCATGGGCTCGCTGCCCAAGCGCGAGCTATACGCGATCGGCACCATGCGTGCCACCCCGCAGTCGATGTTCATGGAGAAGTGTTTCAACGAACTCAGCCTGCCGCATACCTTTAGCCCCATCGACCGTGGGCCCAAGGGTTCCATCGAGGCCGTCATTCTGCAGCCCAACTTTGGCGGCGCGTACCTGAACCCACCCTTGCCGAGTCCCGTTTCCTCGACGACAACAACAACCGCCATCCCCAACGTCAGCGAGGCGGCGCGTGCCATCGGACTGATCGACACTATAGTGGTGGTGACGGGCAGCGGCGGGCCGCGACCGTTTGTCGGCGAGAACGCGACGTGGAAGGGGATCCGTGCGACGCTGACGCGCGACTACGTCCCCTCTGCGTACTGTGGCCGGGCCGCCATTGTGCTCGCCAGTACCGAGAGCGACGCCGCCCCGGCCGTCTTTGCCCTGCGTAGCTTGGGTATCGGTCCGATCTACACCGTCGGCTTCAAGGCCAACGGACCTTTGTCCGCGGGGTTAGAACCCCTCACCTCCATCCACTCGGTCAAATTGGTCGACAAACCGTTTGTTATGGTGTCGGCGTTGCCCCCTGACAAGTCGCTTCTTGTCCAACCCCTCTTACGACATTACAGCAGCAGCAGCATCAACAGCATCAGCAGCAGCAACAGTCGTATGACTACCGGCCGGGTATACCTGGACCTGACGAGTGGGACGCGCAAAGGCGACCCGCTCGGGGTGGCGGTCAGCGCCGGGTGGACAGCGTACGGGATCGAAGAGGTGCATGCATGGACGACGGTGGAGACGCTGCGTCTGCTCGTTGGTCAGAACGTGCCTTTTGATTTTGTGCGCATGGCATCCGGGCGGGTTTATTGATCCTTTCGGAGTATGGACCTGCTCCTACCAGACTCTACACTACTACTAGACGAAGTTGCATGTATATACATAGGCGTTAATGATGTACCTCAGTTCACTTAGTTACCTTGGTCAGCTAGCAGCGATTGTCAGTACTACACAAAGTATTACATTGTCAGTACTACACAGAGTATTACCCTTCGTCCGAGGCCCCTGTCACCTCGTCTTGCGGGGTTGCGCTGATCCTTGCTGCTCTCGCTTTTCTTGAAGAATACGGATACGGAGACGAGTCGAATCGAGTAAATTCCCTTTGGCCATCTTTTTTTTCCTTCTCTTTTAAACTAGGGTTATAACTTTATTAAATTTATTTACTAACTACATATATTAATCGAACTTGTCTATTCATTTCTGATAATCAGGGGTCTCCGGATTCCCCGCAATCCTCCGCTTTTTCCCTCGAACCCGCCCAGTTCTCCCACAACTGACTGAGACATGGCCGATTTATCCTGCAATTGATTCATCTCATTGTCACTTTCTTCTTTTTTTTTTTTTTTTCTCTTTCCTTCTCGCTTATTCTCTTCTCCTTATCTATCTTCCTATCATGCATCATGTCTCGTCCGCCCGTGAGTATCGATCGCCTCACTCCCCGACGGGCGACGATCGAACCGCGCGAGTCGATGAACTGCAAGTCGTGTCGCAAGCGGAAGGTATTTTCCATTCTTCTATTCTTCTACTCCTCTTGTTATAGTCTAGATTGATCAAGAGCTCACAAGTCAGATTAAATGCAACCGCATGCGCCCGAGCTGTGAGGCGTGCAAGGTCTTCCAGTGTCCTTGTATCTACGGTATTCCCTCTTCAAACCCTTCAAGCCCTTCAAACCCTTCAAACTGAATTAAACTGAATTAAACTGATCCCCCCCTGCCTAGATGCCGTGCCTAAAAAACGAGGACCAAAAACAGACGTGCTGGAGGCGCTGTTGAAACGAGTCGACGGCCTGGAGAAACGCTTGCAGGACGAGAAGACGCCGATTTCACCCACCTCGATTGCAAAGGAGGACGTCAATCCCACCGCGAGTCGAACAAACGAGAATATTCCCCATCCTCATAACCATGCTCGTCGAGCAACCATTGACGGCATGTATTATCCTGTCCAGGAATTTGCCTCTGCTGTTCCTCCTCCTGCTGCTCCTCCTGCTCCTCCTGCTCCTCCTGCTCCTCCTGCTCCTCCTCTTGCTCCCCTTCCGACTATCGCCCTCCCCGAATCTCTCCTGGACGCTTACTTCTCCCGTCTTCACGGGAAACCATACTATATCCTCGATGAGCAGAGTACAAGACAGAAACACCAGCTGGGGCAGCTCTCTCCTCCTCTCAGTCTGGCCATCGTCGCCCTCGCCATGCGGTATACCAGCGCCACAAGCCCGGAGACGGCCCAGCACACGCCGCTGGATTATGCGTTGCAGGCTCGCCAGATGGTCGATGTCGATCAGCCTTCTATCGAGAGATTGCAGGCTCTGTTGCTTCTCTCGCAGGCTTTCTTTGCTTTGGGACTTGGCAAGAAAGCTTATATGACGTTTTGTAGGCTCCTCCTCTCCCCCTCTCCTCTTCCTCTCTTCTTCCTTCATGTAGAGTTAATAAAAATAGCAAGCTGCGTGGCAATGGTGATAGCCCTCGATCTATACCGCGAAGTCCCCTCAAAAGTCAACTGCTCCTCGCTGGAGCGGGAGATGCGCCGCCGTCTCTTCTGGGCAACGTACATGATGGACCGATTCATCACCTGCGGCTCGAAACGGCCGTGTCTCATCTCCGATCACTCCATCCTGCTGCGACTCCCGGCGTGGACGTCCCAGGGATCCTCGCTGAACGTGGAAGGCGAGATGTTCAACGTCGGGCCCAACATCCACTACTCGTCTGATGCGCGCCGGCGAGCGGGCCAAGGCGCCGCAGCGCTGCTGATAGACATCACGCGCATTCTGGGCGTGACGAACCGATACCTGGCTGCCGGCGGGGTCAAGGGCGACTCGCATTTCCCCTGGCACTCGCTGTCGAACCTGTCCAAGATCCGCCAGGAGCTGGACATCTGGGCCGCCGGCACGCAGGACGTCTTCGCCTCCATCGACGCCCTGTTTGGCCATCCGGAGAGCACCACCCTGCTCCTCAGCAAACTCATCTACCACCTCGTCCACTGCCTCATCTACCGTCCCTTCCTTCCCATCGATCTCGTCGAGCTGCGCGGCAGCGGCCAGCACCAGTCCTGGCAGATCGAGGCGACCAATCTGTGCTTCTCGCACTCCAACGCCATCGCCGAGTTGGTCGAGCTGGGTCGCGCCGCGCCCCTCGTCGAGTGGCCCGACCTGGTCGGCTACTGCGTCGCCATCGCCGCCACCGTTCACGTCCACGGCGTGCACTACAAGGGTCCCGCCGACGGCGGCGGCGAGGTGTTCGCCGCCAGTCCGGATTTCCTCACGCGCGAAATGCACCAGCTGGCCTGGCTGCGCGCCTACTGGGCTGGAGTCCAGCACCTGCGCGAGATGCTCCAGACCATCTACGCCGCTCACACGGAGCTCGTCCGCTCCTTTGCTACCAGCTCCATGCGCTTCTCCCCTGTCTTTCACCTCGAAGACTTCCTAGACCGATACCCGGGCTTGGCTGTCGATGGCGCTCACGTTCGCCTTGTCGATATGCCGGTCGATCATGAGAGGTATTCTTCTTTCTCCTTCCTTCCTTCCTTTTTCTTTTCTTCTTTCTTTTTTCTTCCTCTTTTCTAACCTGCACAGTTTATTCGGCCAGGACTTTCTTAATCGCCTTTCCACCCCCTACTTCCAAAACATGTACCAGACACCCAGGCCTCACTTACAACCGTCACCATTATCATCCCTCGCATTAGGGGGCGAGCGCCGGGACTCGCAGTTCAAAGAGCACACTCGGTCTTCTGCCTTTGCCCGCCCTGCCTCCGACTTGCCCTCCATGTACGCCGTCCCGGCCACAGACTTAAGCGCGACAGGAACATCTTCCTCCTCTTTCCCGCCCGACCACGCAACCCTGCCAAACCCCTTCTCCCCGGGGATGTTTGCATTCTCCCCCTCGGCCGTGCTAGCAGACTCGGTGCTCAACGTCGCGCCCACCCCGCCCGCCAACCCGCAATACGCGACCTTCCCCTTCGACGCAGTCAACCTGAATGCCTCCCCGCATGGCGCTGGGCCGGGCGCCCTCATCGGCGCCACGGCGTTAACACCAGGCGGTCAGTCACAGGGCAGCGGCTCGCACACGGGCACAGCAAGTGACAACCCGGCCTCGGAGAAGGATCCGTTCCTCAGCCTGCTGGAACGGCTGGCGGAGAACGAGCAGAACTCGGCGGGCGGGCCGAGCGAGCTGGATTTCTTCCTCGGCGCGGTGGAGGAGGAGGAGAAGTAGTCCTTTTGTATATACTCCTCCTATTAGACATAAAAGATACCCATAATATGTACCATCTCAAATCGAGATACGTCGTTCTTCGACGTACATCTGGAGTATACGGAGTATATAAGTATATAAAGTATAACTAGTACTACAAGTATAACTATAACAGCTAATTCTGATGGAGTATGGACCAAGCTGTTACAGAACTATAACAAGGTACTGACTGAACTTGCTCTCGTCAGAATCTACACTGAACACACTCTGCCAACCGATCAACGAATACTTGACGCAGCCAGTCTTCAATGCAGAGAAAAAGTCGACCACCTCCTCTCCGATCTATGGTTTGCAATCCTGCACATCTCGAAACATCAAGTGCAGGTCTCTAGGCACGCCGAGCTCCTTGACTCTCCTAGAAGCTCCCAAATCACAGCCTACCGTCCAATCTCCAGAACTAGTTGACCAAGGTCAAGAACCGGTTGAGTTTTGAGAAGAGAAAGTCTGACATGGTGGACGCTTTGCTTCCCCGCTGCGGCGGGGTGGGTTCGTGTCTTGTCCTCTAGAATGGTGGCTAGAGATATAGATCTATGGGAGAAGTGGAGGGTGTGCTTCACTGTCTTCTCTACAAGGGAGGATCTGGAGGTTGAAACGAGGGAGAAGGCCATGCATGTTTTGAACATATCCCAATAACAACCAACACGCCTGGAATGATGATTGGTTTATTCTTCTATATATATGTCTTACTTGCCAAACCGGATCCCCATGTCGGGAGTCCACATTCCTGGCGTAGGCCCCGTCCGCGTCGGCTGCGGTGCTGTCAGCGGGTTCGCACTGGTAGGCGGTGCAGATGGACGGACTTGGGCTTGCAGTGGTGCGGCGTAGGGAGCTTGAGCTTGTGGAGGCGGTTGATGCTGCGGTGGACGAGAGATGTTGAGCGAGGCCATGGCGGTGATGTTCGATATATCTCTATTCATCAATCAGTACGGTGCCACATCAAAAGAGAGGCAATTAGAAAGATAAGATGAGCAAGGCGTACGCTTCTAGTTGGCTGGCTTCCATGCGCCGCTGGTGGACAAACGCCTTGCTGTCGTCGCGGAAGCGGGCGACAATCTTGGCCAGGTCGTTGTAGAACTTGCGCCCGACCTCCAGGTTGGAGATGATCTCCTTGTACTTCAGGTACCCGGTCTCTAGCTCCTGCAGGGCCTTCTCTCGCTCCCGCATCGACGCATCCCCCTTGTGCGCCTTGGTGAAGGCGCGGTTCGCCTCGCGCACCTGCGCGGCGAGCTGCTCCTGCTCGTGCTGCTCTTGATCCACCATCTCCACGTCCGCGTCGTACAGCCGCAGGTGCTGTTCAAACAGTTCTTCAAACTGGCTCGCCTGGATAGGCTGCATGGGGAACTCGCGTTCCAGTCGAGCCGCTTCTTTTAGGAGCACAGGGTCTAATTTGATCAGCTGGGTAGTTCGAGTATATAATACAGAGAGAAAGGGCCAAGCTTACTGATGTCGTCCGACCTCCCCTTGTCCTTGACCGTCTGGATCCGTCGTTTCCGGCGGTTCTCCAATCGACTCACATCGTTCAAACAGCTGCGCAGCCTGATTGATTCGCGCTCCGCCTCGGGCGTGATCGCCGCCCGGCGGCTGCTGGGCACATACGCCTCGAGGTCTCGATTGGTTCCCGTCAGTACGCGGAAAACGGCCTCCGAGTCCTTCATCTTGCGCTCCACCAGCTCATCGCTGCTCTGTGCAGAGGTGAAGTAGCCATTGATCTCGGTCGATGTCGTGTACACCTTCAGCCCTGCCACCTCGGACGCTTCTCTCGACCACCGCTCGGTGCCGTATTTACGACGGGCCGCATCGTCCTCCGCCTTTTCGGCTGCCAGAATCTCAACGCCTTCCTGGTACACAGCCTTGTCGTTGGCTTTGATCTTTGCTGTGTCCTCAAGAGACCGGCGCAGGCGGTACTGTCCGTCCTGCTGTCGCATCTCCTCGGCATGTGAGACTAGAGTCGGCGGCAGGCCCAGAGGCTTTTCCAGCGCTTGCAGAGATCCGGGGAGATTGAGGGAAGATAGCAAACTTGGACAATTCTTCAGCTTTTATGATCAACAAAAACAGAACAATGTTAGGCAAAACTCACTCTCTTAGCTTATCTGTCATGGTCTCCAGGCCCCCAATGATTGTGTCGTTGATCAGTCGATCCCTTCGGTCAGAGTAGATGCTTGCGGCAATGTGTACTGCATAGGGCACCAGCTTGGAGAACAAAGGTTGCCCGAGCGGGCCGTTGTCTCCGAGCATCGAGATCGCGTCGGTCACCTGGGATGTGGCTTTGGCAGCCACCATACTTGCCCGTTCGATGGTCTTGAGCTCTGACTTGGGCGGAATCGGGTTGAGATAAATGACGTCGTTGTCCTTTTCGGCTCGCTTCAGGTCCTCCGTCACGCGGCTTTTGAGACCGTTGAGGTCACCCAGTACCGTGCGGTTGATCCAGCGCGCCTCTTTCAACGCCTCATTTATACAGAGGAGACTGTCTCGCAGCCGTGCAACCTCCTCTCCGTACTTGCGCTTCTCCAGGCAGTCAAGGGACTGGCGGTACTGTGCCGCGGCGGCAAAATGGTGGTGCTTCGCCGTCATGTGGTGAATCCAGTCGGTGCTGATCGCATTCGACTTAACCGCCAGGTCGCCGGAGTCGGCATAGAAATCCGACACCTTGGCCGCTAGCCTCGCAATCGACGCATCCTTTAGCCCGTCCTTGACGGCTTTCTGCCAAAAACATTCCTGCGCCTGCGCAAGGAGCAGCAGTTCCAGACTCTCCAGCGTGACATCATCCATATCTTCCGGGGGCGATGAGCGGAGATCAGGTATAATATCGGTTCGCAGGTGCGCAAGCACGCCAGCCGCCTGGCAAAAGTAATTGCAGGCCTGTTTGAGTCCATCGGAGGTGGTGCGGTTCAGAGAAAAGGCAAGCTGCGAGTACAATGCGGCGAGATTGAAGGTGATATTTGCAAGCTCAAATCGCAGATTATTTTGTGAAACTGATATATATCCATCAGACCTATGTGTTTTGTCCCCCCCCCTTCAACATGCTGCAAAACTCACCTGGTCTCGACGTATTGAATCCAAAGGCAGGATACCACGAAAAATCGACACCAATCTGCACAGTATCAGCAATGTAGCCCAGCAAAAAATCCATCTTCTCACAACCACTCCTTTCTCACATCAATTGGAAATTTCCCGCCGATCCATTTCAGCTGCGCCGCGTACGTGACTAGCCGACTAATCCCGCTGATATGTGGCTCCTGGACGTTTATAGCCTCTGACCGTAGCCGGTCGATGATCAGGAGATCTTCCGCGAACATGTCTGGGCGCTGGTCATATTTGGAGGAGATGTACTGGGTGATGGCATCCGCGAGTGAGACGGGGTGCGTTCGTCGGAATGGTAGCTGGAGGATATTTCTGGAAACATAGGTTAGCGGGGCTTCCAGACGTCCATTTCAATAGAGACTGCTCTACAGAAGTCACGGTACATACGATGCCATTGTAACGGTGGTTGGGGATGGCCCAGGTCCAAAGGCTGTTGTTGACAGCAAAAAAGATTGTCGGGCCCCGCGCAACGGATGACGTCTAAGATGCCTGAGGCACAGAGAGCTTGGTGTCTCTTTGCTGCGTTCGTACTAAAGCTTCTACTTTTGGAGATTTCGCAGGAAGATCAATTAGAGGTATATTGCTAATGATCATATCTTTCTTATTTGCTACCGAGAATTTGCTCCATGTATGTACGTGAACAGATTACAAGCCAAAAAATGCAAATAGAGCAGCAGCCCATTGCTAGTCCGCAGATATGCAGGATCATGGAACCACAAGAACAGATTCAGGAAAATATCTTCAAGACGAGTCAAGAATTCAAGGCTCCAGTTCACTGATCCGCATCTTGATGTACTCGTAGAGACTGAGCAGGATCATATTGTTGATTGCGGTGCGGAAAAGGATGATGGATAGGCCCTTGTACATGCTGGACTTGGCCACAGCCATGGACGCCTCTCCAATTTCCTTGGATTTACCCAGGAGGACGCTCTGGGCGCGGGTCTTCCTGGTATCAAGGGGGTAGGTCTTAAAAAGGAATCTTTGTCAGTAACCTTTGCAACGCGAGGGAGATCTCTCAATCACTTACACAAAACCAAGGAACGGTGCTACAAAGCGCTCCTGCAATCATCGGACCGCCGAATGGAGACTTGTCCTGGCCCATTTCATTGGCAGCGAGTTGTTTGACAGTCTCGTAGACGCTGAAATACAGACCGGATCCGATGGTATCGCGTAGGGCGTGCAAACCGAAGCCGGTATAAAGGCCACGGACGCCATGGCGCCGGACGATCTGCTGGATCGCTTCGATAGTGCCGAGGCGAGGCTTGTGACGCAGCGAAGGATCGGCAACTGCATCGGGAGATGCCTGGGCACGGTTCGACACTAGAACAGAGGTCTGAACCACGTTCTTCGCGAGCTCGAAGGGGCCTAAGATAGAGTTTTATGAGCCGGCTGCGAAAGAAGTTCTGGGAAGAAATTTAAACTTACAGGCAATCGGAGACGAGACGAGTCCAGCGAAGAGCCCAGCGGTAGTGAAGGTGAAAAGCGTGGCAAAAGTTGGAGTGCTGCCGGGCTGATCGTAGTATTCCTCAGGAGACTCACCTGTCCAGCCTTTGACAAAGTTGGAGATGACATGCCTCGCGTCACTGTAGGTCGAGAAATTCAGGACCCGAACGACAGTGACACTTGCCAAGGGTGGCAGAGCTCCTGGAAAATGAGTTTTGTTAGCTCTTGATGGAGCTCTCTGGATATAAGAGTTGAGCTCACCGGCAACATAGCCCCGAGGCCCCTCAGTACGCCACAAGTAGCGCACGCATTGGGAAATATTCTTGAAATTGTGACTGACAGGTCAGCTTCCTTTGCGTCAGCTCAGACTCAGGGCAGCTTACGTCTGCATCCGGGTCTTGACGTTTTCCAGTGGGGTCTGTCAGAGAAGAGATTAGTTCTGGGTCCGCGTTTACCCCGACAGCAAGGCTGACACGTACCAACGTCAGAGTAGCCACGATGGTCGAGACCCCCGAAGCTACTTGCGTATTGTAGCGTCTGAGGAGTTTGTTGCGCGTGGCGTCATCCATTATCCATGCATTAGTGGATGGCATGATTCCAGGTGCAGGCTGTGAAGGAGCTGGTGTGAAAGAAGCATGTTCAGAATGTTTATCCAGAGTCATCCCTGCATCTAGACAGTCACTGATAGGCCTGCTCCAGATTCACAAAAGTGGTCCTTAATGGCAGTTGTAATCGGCTGGCAGCATGAGAGAGCATGTACTGCCTTATACAGATTCACAAGGTAGGCTGGGGAACCCTATGGAACGCAAAGCGGTCTCTCAGCGCGCGAGTAGACCGTTCGGCGTCCCACAATTGTCCATGAAGTAGACTGGACTCAATTTCTCTGCTGCTCAATCCTTGAGATATCTTTATTTCTCATGGAAGGGACCACACACAACGAGGGAGGGGATCCAGCACAACCCCCAAGTCAGCCCTTGCGAATGTTTTATCCGACAGCGGTGCTCCGCCAAAGCACACGCAGCGATGTATGCTGCGTCTTGAAGGCTTTCAAGACCGTATATATGCTTTCAGAAGCTCCTGAACAATGGTAACAGAACTTGTTAGCCCGAATCTCTGTTCTCACTGCCATCGTCTCGCAGATCAGACCTCCTCCCGACGGGCCATTGCTAAATGCTTACCTCAACGCAAGACCAGCCCAGCAATCACCAATCCATCGATTGCAGCGAGAACAAGCCCGTCCGAACAATTTCCAGCAACAGCAGAGCTCACGGGAGTGTCCAGTGGGATTGACACAGGCCGACCGGTCGATCGTCGCAGGACAAACGACGCAGAAAGCTCGGGTAGGCATGTGGGGACAGGAAACGGGTGGTCAACCAGTGGGCGAGTGACGTCGGTATGAACAGCCAGCAAGAGACTGGACAGTGGAGGGCATGGTCAGTTATCGAATATTATGATTATTATTCCTATTATTCAGACTTCTGCTCGCTTGTTGACCTTCCTCCACAACAAGATTGGGAGCCAATCCGCAAGTGAGGTGAAGAAGATCCAACTGGATAGCGCCAGTGAGTGCAGCAAGCTACCCCGCCCTGCCAAGGTTGTAACGAAGAATACTACGAGTAGATACCAGGTAGTGTACGGACTATGAACTTATGAAGAGTGCTGATATCCCCTTGTTCGATAGGAAACTCCATAAAGAGCGAAATGAGTCTTGCAACAGTGTGCTGTGCTCTGCTCGCTGCTCGCTTTCTACCCCACAGAACCAGACTCCCGTTACAGGAGATCATCGACGACACGACCTTCTCCTCCAGCGTTATTGGCTAGATTTGGTGTCGAGATAACTGGCCATCGGGCTTGGATACAGGATCCATCCAGACAGGGGCTGTGGCTGGAGCAAAGTTGATGGTAACTAGCTCCTTATCACCTACCTAGCCACGACGGCGGCCTACACGTAAAAAACGGGGATCGAAATCACGTCTGCAACTGAAAACGGCTGGCCAGTGGCCACAGCAATGAAGCCGGTGTTATTGGTCGACTAATCGTGGCCCAGATGGCCGAGCGAAGGTTTGCACGATGACTGCTACAACTCACAATTCGGCTCATTGTTGGTTGGAGAACGGCCCACTATATCCACAGAATTCGCTCTGGGGTTCGACTTCTCGGTCTGATAATCATATCACAATCCTCTTATAGTTATCGATGCGGGAGGGTTTAAATTGGTTCTGTAGTGCAAAACCAACACAAGATTCGTGCCAGATAGATGGTACTTGGGATATCTCAACCACGCCACCCTTTCAGAAAGAGATAAGTAGGTACTCACCAGGTCGAAAGATGGAGCAATATAACCCCTTAACACCGTTCACACCTAGGCTTAATATGATGCCTCTGAATCGTGCAAATGACTTGTACATACTCGGTAGTAGATACCTGTAGACCTCGGCCCAAGCTTTCCCCGCACCCCCTTGCGTTCACCTCATATTCTGACGCTGCTCTTCATTATGGACGCCGACATCTGACCCTCTGGTGATCAATACAGTCATCTATCTAATCCTACACAGTTGGCAGAATTCTTAATCAAAATGGGTAAGTCAGCGAGCGGTCCTGCGTACGTGCTGGGCGTCGGGATGACCAAGTTCATCAAACCTCGCGGTAAGGTTCATTACCATGAGCTGGGCTTTGAGGCGGGCGTCAAAGCCATGCTAGACGCTCACATCAACTACGATGAGGTCGACCAAGGCGTTGCGTGCTACGTCTACGGTGACAGTACCTGTGGCCAACGCGTGTTCTACCAGTTTGGTCTGACGGGGATCCCGGTCTACAACGTCAACAACAACTGCTCGACGGGGTCGACAGGGCTCGCCATGGCGCGCACGCTGGTCTCCCACGGGGCGGCAGACTGTGTTCTCGTTGTCGGTTTCGAGACGATGAGCGCGGGGAGTATTAAAAAAGTGTTTGAAGATCACGAAAATCCAACCGGACTGTTAGGCCGGATGATGACAGAGACCAGGGGTTTCACCAATTCTCCCATGGCAGCACAGATGTTCGGCAATGCCGGTCGAGAATACATGGAGAAATACGGCGCCAAGGCCGAGGACTTCGCAGAAATCGCACGCATTAACCATGAACATTCCAAGCGTAATCCTTACTCCCAGTTTCAGGATGAGTACACACACGAACAGATCCTTCAGGCGCCGATGATCTTCGAGCCCCTCACCAAGCTCCAGTGTTGCCCGACGTCGGACGGCGGAGCGGCCGCTGTCGTTGTCTCGCAGGCGTTCCTCGATGCGCGACCACATCTCAAGGGCCAAGCTGTCCTCATCGCCGGTCAGCAGCTAGCTACAGACGACACAAGCCTCTACAGCCGCAGCTCAATCGATCTGATGGGCGTCGGGATGGCCCGGAAGGCCTGCCGGGCAGCAGTAGCCGAGGCAGGCGTCAACGTTAAAGACATCAAGCTCTGCGAGCTTCACGACTGCTTCTCGGCCAACGAGATGATCACCATCGACGCTCTGGAGCTGTGCGAGCCGGGCAAGGCCCACGAGATGGTCCGCCGCGGCGACATCACCTACGGCGGGCGGATGGTTATCAATCCTTCTGGCGGGCTCATCTCCAAGGGCCATCCGCTAGGGGCAACAGGGATCGCGCAATGTGCCGAGCTGGTCTGGCACCTCCGCGGTTGGGCCAACAACCGACTGGTGAGCGGCACTGTCGCGGCGCTGCAACATAACCTTGGCCTCGGGGGCGCGGTTGTCGTGACCGTGTACAAGCGAGCCGATGGCCAGGCGCCCACCCCCGTCCCCTCGGCCACCGTTGGCCAGATTACCGGCCTGGGCTACAATCCTGCAGTGGAGGCGAAGGGGTTCACCGCCCAGCAGGTGCAGTCCGTTCTCAGCAAGAAGCATAGAGATACGTGGGCGCTGGCGGACGCCGAGAAGAAGATCCTAGCACGGTTTTAGCTAGTGTACATCTCTATTTTCCACACCTGGATATGCAAATTGACCTCACAACAAGATAGTGTTAGCATTATTATTATTCCACGGCCATAGTCCATAGTTATGTAATTATATGCCTCAGGCCACTAATCTAGTCCTATTACTTCCTAGTCGGCGGGCTAGCGACCGCTTACATAAGCAGACCATAAAATCTCGTCGCGTCTGAAGCTTCCGATTCTTTTCTCTTCCACATATCACGGTCTCCAACATACCCTTGTGGATGGATTTTGGGCTCTTCTCAGCCTTCTCTGTTCTATCTGCAAATTTTAGAATAGAGACCTAGAGTGAATGATCTCGTGCTCGTTCTAATCCCAGTGCCTGCGTCGATGTCGGGTAATTTGGGTTCGCTTTGAGCGTACACACTGTGCATTGTGCATTCCCATTGATGAATCAAGCTTGTCAAGACTCGTTTGAACTTTGTTCAAGTGTCGATTAAAAGACGGAAAAATGCCTCTGTCCCCTCTTTTGACAGTTTTACAATGATACCAATGTTTTTTTTTCTTTTTCTTTGCTCGTCTCTACTTACTCCATTAACGTCTAGATCTCTCCAGGTCGGAACAACACCAAGTCGTATACAACTTTCATGTATGGCACTTTCGAAGTCTCGTCAGTCAGTCTATGATATTCGAGGTCAAATCTGTGCCAAAAGCGATACCGAAGTCAGGCATTATTGTCTATTTTTCGCCTCCCTCGTGTTGCGTCTGCCTTTTGATCTGAATGGGGCTGTACGTGTCAAAGTAGGGAGATACATTTCGTAATACTTAGGAATAAAGGCTGCCAATGCACTAGATATCATTTGTTTATACCTGGGCGCTGCTTTATAAAGGTATCCCGACCAACCTCCTCGACGTACATATGTCCTTGGATCTCGCGCACCAAGGGCACGACCATCATAAGAGTTTAGGAGGTGTCGGAGGAATGTCGCAGGTTTGAGACCTATGTTCATTCTAGACAAGAATGCAAGGGCTGGAAAGCCGGCGACTCAGAACGCTGTGTGCCTGAATGCAGGGCCGTCGATCCGAGAATGTTCAGAACACTTCGTAGTCTCGGTTGGCTTACCTTCCTTCTCCTTGCTTGACCGATCCCTGTCATGACGAGGTCAACTATGCCCGGCGGCGGGAACAAAGATCTTCATCAAGGCGTGAAGCATGAGCACAACGCGTGTCATGTAGGAGGGGAAAGCTTAGCACGCGCCATCCCTTCAAGGAATGCCCGGTATAAAGGTGCCTCCAAAGCCACAGGGTGAACATCTCGAATCGTGGTCTTCTTCTCCGGCAATCGCTCAGTCGTTGTTCTCTTTTTCTTTGCTATTCTTCTGGCTGTAGAACCTCTCGTTCGACGTATTCGGCTGTCCACTCCTTCGTATCTTTCCAGTTTCATTTCAAAATCACACCCACAAACCAATACAATGGCTCGTTTCAACTTCTCCGTCTTCGCTCTCTTTATGCTCCTTGGTCTCCTGACCAATGCTATGCCGGTCAAGCGTGCTGATGCAGACACCGGCAATGCCCTGTCGAACAGTGACGCCTCTGAAGTTGCATATGAGAGCTTGATGGTATGTTAATGTGCAGCTTCGCAGAAATGACATGTGCACTAAGTCATTCTATAGTCCGCCGCCGACATGTTCAAGGATATGGACCAGGACGACAACGACAACGTTGCGGTCCCTAAGCCCGCCAAGAGCAACCAGAGCGACAGCACCAAGGACAAGCCCAGCCAGACCCAGGCCCAGGCCTCCAAGTCCCAGCCCTCACCCTCCCACTTGGCTACTCCTTCAAGCAAGCCCGCTCCCGCCCGGGAGGCCGAGGCTGCCCCCTCCCCTTCTTCCAACCACAAGAGCGAAGACAACCCGTTCGCTAGTCTGCCCCTTGTCGGTGGTCTGCTTGGCGGTGCTGGCCTCCCCATCTAAACCAGCGAAAAGTGTCAGCTTTTTTTTTTCCCTTTTCGTAAGTTATGGCAATTAGTTGCCGGGGGGCAGGGGAATTATGCGGGTGATCTTTGGAGATTTCTGCCGGGGCGATGGGATGGCAGATGAGGGGTACTTTTGAACACACTTTCGTTTAACGCATTATGCTTTGTTTCTATTAGAATAGTTTTAAATCAACCCATGCACATTCGTGCCCTGTGGTATAGCATATCTGAAAACCATAGGTCACAGCGTAGATTGAGAGAATCTTGTCATCGTACCACACTGTTGGTTTAAAGGTATGTACATTCTGAGAGTTCTGGACATTAACTACCGTACGACCCCGGCATCATGGAAGAACAGGCTTACTGTGTGGTAACATGACATGCCCAGGATTTGGTCGTGAAGGAATGTGTGTCGCCCACAGCATCGATTCTCTGGAGCGAAGGTTCGCAACAAGGCACCCCGTAGCCTTTCTCCCGGGTATCTGCATGAACTTGGAGAATTCATATAGACAAACGCCTATATGACAGGGCGGCGTCTATTCAACTAGTCTGAGAGTCTTGGTGCCCGCACCGAGGCCTTCAAGATCCAGGGTTCTGTTTGGCTTTTTGTTGTCCCTCGTACAGGCCGGTGTAGTATCCGGCGAAATACCAGGCCATCATCAGGTTCTTCAGCCCTTCATCCTGGACTGCAAAATATTAACTTTCTATAAGTTCAACGAAAACAAATTTCAAATCAGAATCCTTACCTTGTCCCATGGCTGCGTGTGGTACTGTAGGACCCGTGGGAGCCCCGGTCGTGGAAATTCCTCCGCTTTGCTGAGGCTGGACATCGTTTACCGTCTGAATTGCATCAGTAAAAAGAACCAGGTAGAATTGGAATATTGCTGTCCTAATTACCTTGGGCAAACCTTCTCGTAGAATTGTTTTGCTCTCGTCCAATGGTGCCGCAGGCTCAGCAGAATCAACATCTACATTGGCTTCATCCATTCCCATTGGATGGTCATCGTCGATGCTGTCTCCCTGAAAGTCCTCGCCTGCCTCCTGTGCAGCTTCCGCTTCTCGTAGGACATCTTCGACGTTCTCCCCTCGCGCATGGATGCTGTGGTATAACTGTTGATCGCTCAGCGGTAGGTCACGTGAAACACAGCAAGAGCGCGTTACCTTGTATTCCTCGACAGCCTCATCCCACGACCTGACAAGAGCCGAGTCATCCCAGATCTCCTCGTGCGTAAGCGGCTTTGAATGACTCTTGTTCTTCCCCATGATACCTGGCGTACCGTGTCTGTCTCACTTCCTCCCTAAACATGGAGAAGGCAGCGGGCGGAGCTTCCATGCCAGGACGGAGATTAGCCTGCTCACCGCCTTTGCAGCCTGCAAGAAAAAAAAAAGTTTCCTCGAAAGGCTATGACGGATCTTCCACTGCGAGCAACGTTTCTGTGCCAGGAGAAAAAAAGACAATGGCCCCGGACAAAAAGGATAACAAGCGCAAAGGTATGTTCTTCAGTGTATATCTGTTCTAAAGCGGCTACTGACAGCCTGGCAGCCGCTACCGCTACCGTGAGCCCGCCCGCGAAGAAGACCAAGAAAGTCGAGGCCAAGTCCAAGGAAGCTGCTAAAGATGCACCGAAATCCATCTTAAAGAAGAAGCCTGCGTCGGCTCCTGCAACAGATGCAAAGGCGTCCGCTTCTTCCTCAAACCTCAATGGCAAGCCTACGCGGCAAGTGAAGCCCCGCAAGCGGGCTGCGGATTTCCTTAGCGAAGACGAAGATGAAGAGGCTAAAGCTGCCCCCAAATCGGAGCCCAAGCCTGACAAGAAGAAGGTCAAAAATTCGAAGAAGGTCGAGGTTGTTGCCGAGGAAAGCGACGACGAATCTGAGGCCAGTGTAGCGTCAGAGGAAGATGAGGCGGAAGACGACCAGACCACAGCACTTATCAAGGGCTTCGAGAGCAGCGGCGATGAGGATGCATCGGATGACGAGGGCTTTGATCCTGACCAGCCAGTCCCCCGGATCCCAGATTCCAAGAAGGCCAAGCGCAAGATCTTGAAGAAGCAGAAGAAGTCGGATGAGCCTGATGAGCCGGGTACTGTCTACGTTGGGTAAGCGAAACTCCTTCCTGCTGCCGTTTTTGATTCAATTCAAGTGAGCTAATATGTTCTTTTAATTAGTCGTATTCCTCACGGTTTCTATGAACATCAAATGCGTGCCTATTTTTCCCAGTTCGGAGATATCACTCGCCTCCGTCTATCGCGTAACCGCATCACCGGCCGCTCAAAGCATTATGCCTTTGTTGAGTTCTCTTCGGTCGCGGTTGCCAAGATTGTCGCGGAGACCATGGACAATTACCTCATGTATGGCCACATCCTGAAGTGCAGGTTCGTTCCTAAAGAGCAGCTGCACCCGGAGATCTGGAAGGGGGCCAACAGGCGGTTCAAGAAGACCCCATGGAACCGGATCGAGAAGAAGCGTCTCGAGAAGGGCAAAACAAGAGACAAGTGGTCAAAAAGCATCGACCAAGAGCAGAAACGGCGACTTGCCAAGGCCGAGAAGTTGAAGGCCCTGGGTTACGAGTTCGAGATCCCTCAGCTTAAGAGCGTCGACGATGTTCCCATGCAAGATGCAACCGAGGCTCTTGAAGCCCCAGCGGAAACAGATAAAGCCATCGAGGCTGCTCCTGCTGTAGAGGCTACCCAGCCCGAGGAGAAGGCCGAAAGCACACCGAAGAAGGCCAAGAAGGAGAAGAAGGCTGCTAAATCTCCCGCCGCTGAAAAGGAGACACCCAAGTCCGCTACGAAGAACACTGCTGCTGCAGAGTCCACGGCTTCACCCGCTGCGAAGACTGGCGCCAAAGCCAAGAAGACCAAAAAATCGAAGATCTCGGCATAGTCTATGCCTGGGAGAATGTTTGGGTCATGAGATAGACGGCTTTTGTCTCTACCTGTATTTCTTTTACTGCGTGTTAGTCCTCGAGACATGCCCATGTACCTTGCACTTTACATATTTCATTACAGCTCAAAATTCCATCGCTAGTCATTAGACTCATGTATATTTTATCTTTACAATTGCCTCTGAAATAGAAATTCCACGCTGTTATGGTATCATGGATGTCTCTTAACTATCAAATATCGTGATGACTAAGATAGTATCACACGTGATCTCTTATCGTGGCTTGAAGCTTCCTTATGGCTTTCGAGGATCCTTGAGGATGTCTAGACGCAACTCCTTCCTCGCAACTCAGTCCAAACAAATCAGCTTAGGTATTATTTTTTTCTGAGCAGGCCTTGATTTCATTGAGAGAGACTCTTGGTGCTTTTTGGCGATAGCTCTTAGTTGAACAATTCAACCTCTGCCATGACGCGGTGGCAACTGGTCTGTTCCTACTACTAGGTTGAATCTCCAACAAAACAACATGTCGGTTCGGAAGAAATGAGGGATTAAGGCATGTCGGATATAGATCAAAACTCAGGTCACTCTGCGCATGATGCAAGTATTCGTGCACTTCCACGCGATGTTGTTTCAAAGATCAAGTCTTCGGCGTCCATCACGCATTTGAATGATGCGATTTTGGGATTGATCAAGAACGCTTTGGACGCTAATGCGCATACGATCACCGTCACCGTTGATTTTCAGCGCGGAGGCTGTGTGGTAGAAGATGACGGTGATGGCATTCCTCCGACGGAATTCGAAGTCGATGGTGGTCTGGGGAAAGCATATCGTAGGTGAACCATTTCAGAAAGATCTCTAGACCATATGCTCATCATTTATATAGACACGTCTAAATTTTCTTCCGAGAAGGACTTCTTTGGTCGGAAAGGCCTGTTTCTTACATCTCTGGCATCCCTCTCTCTATTGACGATCACATCTAAGCATCGTCATCGTCCGACCACGAATACTATAATGTTTCATCATTCGACCCCGGTTGCCCGTTTGATTCCAGCACCATCTCAGCACCAACTAAGATGGAGCAGCCATGGAACCAAAGTCTCGGTGAATGATATTTTTGGCAACATGCCTGTACGAGTCAAGAGCAGAGCACTCGCTCTGCGGAAACCCGACGAACTAGATCGAGAATGGGACAACCTCAAACATGTTGTGGCCTCGATTGTGCTTGCAAATGATCTGATTGAGAAGCTGGTTCTCTCGCACCTTTCTCGAAGGAAGGTCATATTTCGGCCCTCCTACCGTGCTTCATCGGGCCGAGAATTCGATGCTAGGCGTGTTACCTCAATCCTCCAGCAGGCTGGACTCATCGGCGCTCGGGATCTCAGTCATTGGAGGCCGGTCTCTGCCTCTCTTCCTGACTTGTCCGTGCATGCCATCATTTCTCTCACGCCTAGTCCCACCAAAAAAGTCCAGTTCATCTCTTTGGAGAACAGCCCTGTTTTTGCGGGTAACCAGGCCAGCATCTTCTACAATGAGATCAATCAGCTCTTTGCTTCCTCTGATTTTGGGTTGATGGCAAGCAATACAGGCATGGCATCAGCACCCTCTACTAGTCGGATGGAAGCTATGGACGTCAAAGGGCCCAGGAAAAGCGTCGGCAAATGGCCTATGTTCTATATCCGTATAGCAGCCAGAGGTGCCCAGACGTTGGAGGACGATAACTGTGACATCTCTCCCGAATCTGATGGCTCGTTTCAACGCATCATGGATGTGCTTGTTGCAATGATTACTGAATTTTTGAGACAACATGGTCTGCGACCCCGAAGCGAAAGGCAGAAACGAAAATTTTTTGAAGGATACCAGGACTCGAGGTCTGATCAAAATTTTCGGAAGGAAACGAATAAAACCAAAGTACCAGCATTGTCTGGGAACAAGGATCAGCCTGCTAGTGCTAGTACAGAGGAGACACTTGATGCTCGATTGAAACTTCCTTCTTTTCAGAATATGCGAAAGGTAAACGTCTCTCGAGACTTCGGGGGCTGGTCTAGGGTCAAGAGTGGGAACGGCACAACTGTTTCAAAACTGCCAATCAACTTGGAGAAAGAGTCAGGCATGCTACAATTTTATCCTGATACCGACTTGCCCAGGGGTGCTCGCATACACGGAGGCCCATCTTTAACAGAAACGGTGCCTACTGAATCTTCTAGCTTAGCGCGACAGATTGAAGTCTCAGCAGGTTCTGTTCCTGAAGAAAATGGCGAGCCAGTTGATCGATTAATCTTTTGTGCTGATTCTAACACTGGTGAGCCTGTTTCACTTGGTTCTCGCACAGATAACTGCACCACTGCGGACTATGGGGACAACAAACTACGATCAGAAACAGGTCACAAAATACGCAGGCTAGGTTCGGTACCCTCGCTAAAGCCGAGGAATAAAGGCAGTTGGTTAGAAAAATTCTTGGAACAGTGGCAGAATCCCGTCTTTGGGCGTCCTGAAAGGGCTATTGCCGCAGTTGAGTCTGGGAGAGGCGCAGGGCTTCCAACAGGAGACGTTTTTGGGTTCTCTCAGGAGAGTTTTACTTTGGAAACCGCCCGGCTTGGAAGTTACCAGGGCAGAATATCGAGAAACCAGCTTCAAACAGCGACTGTCATTGCACAGGTGGACCAAAAGTTCATCCTCACTAAGATGCAGGTAACCAACGGGAAGAACTCGGGGTTCATGCTAGCTCTGATTGACCAGCACGCCGCGGATGAGCGATGCCGGATTGAACAACTCTTCCGCGACTTGGTCTCGGACTCGTTGCAAGTGCAGACGATCGCCGTCAAACCCATCGCCTTCCAGGTTTCGCCGAGGGAGGCTACATTGCTCCGCCGGGCCAGCGACTTCTTTACCCGCTGGGGTATTGGCTATGATGTTGGGCTGCAAGAAGGCTCCCACCTTGTATCTGTTCACACGCTTCCTGTTCTCATTGCAGAACGGTGCAGACTCGAGTCCAGCCTTGTCCTTGATCTCCTTCGCACCGAGATCTGGGCGCGTGAAGAGAACGGAAGAGGGCCATCGCCTAGGAGTCAGGCGGGCTCTACGGATACGCCCTCATGGCTTGAATGGATCTCACGCTGCCCGCGAGGGATAACCGACCTACTGATCTCGCGCGCATGCCGCACGGCAATCATGTTCAACGACGAGTTGACGCTGGACGACTGCCAGCAACTCGTGGCTCGGTTGGCAACGTGTGTGTTTCCCTTCCAGTGCGCGCATGGCCGGCCCACGATGGTTCCTCTGGTGAACTTGGGCGGCGATCGAGAGTCTGTATGAACAAGTAGTTAGGTAATTACTCTGTATCTGTATCTCTTTGTGCGAAATGAATTCTGCTCTCAAATCCGGTTTTGGAAGTACACCGCATGCAAGGGATATAGACTTTGGAACCAGTAGACAAGACAGGCGAATTACAAGGAGACGAAATGTATCGATCAATCGATTGACTCATAGGTACTTGCTATATACATTACAATACAAACGGTATCCAAAGTACATGACCAGAAAGAAAGAAAAAAACGAAAAAAAAAAAAGAATATGACGAAGGAGGTATCATCCGATTTCCCATCCGAGGCAGCAGGCCAGTCCAGTCCAGTGATTTTTCCCCCCTTTTTGTTGTTTCCTGTTTGCCCTCCATTAACCTAGATTTCCTGGTATCACAAACTGCCAAAAACCGCCTGCCCATAACATAAAAAACCAGAACCAAAACATTGGAGAAGAAGAAGGGAAAAGAACAAATCCACAAGAAAAGAAAAAAAAAAATGTTGAAGAGCAGTAGTTGTTGGAAGAATGCAACCGCTGCCCGCCGGCTCGTAACACGTTTTTTGGTTCCCATCTAAGTTGCAATAAATAGACACCCTTTCTTTTTTTTTCAAGGAGCAAGAGGGAATCGAAATCACAGGGCCGCCCGGTACAAAACAGAGGAAGGAGCATGAAGAAGAGAAGAAGAAGAGGTTGAAGACATATTCAAGAACAGTAGAACAAGACGTGTACGGACGCTGATACAAGAATCAAACATGTGCAAGCAAAGGTAGTCAAAAAAAAAGGAGTCATTCATTAGTCGTGAAAGGTGAGAAGGGGTTGTCGAAGGTATAGGTGGGGGAGGAGGAGTATGCGAATGTTAAATGTGAGTGGTGGTTATGTATGCAAGTCTAAACATGCGTAGCGATGGACTTGAGCTTGGACGAGGAAGTCCAGGAGAGAAAGTCGAACTTGTCACGCGTGGTCTCGCGAATGGAGGCGCCCGAATCGGCGACGGCGCGCTGGGGCGCGGCGACCTCGCGCGGCTCGAGAATGAGAGAACGGCGGTAGAAGGTTTGCAGGCTTTTCTCGCCATTGGAGCGGACGCGGACCAGCTCATCCTGCATCCAGGCCTGCAGCTCGGGGACCTCGTTGAGACGGTAGGGGATCTGGAACCGCTGCAGCTCGCTGATGATCTTGGCTGTCTTGACGTGCTTGTCGAAGTTGATCACCTCCATCTCCCCTTCGTCGGTCGCGAGGCAGCGCAGCGGCTGGTTACCGTGGTCGACAAAGGTCAGATCGGTCAGGTAGGTGCCGACAAATGGTAGGCAGGGCGGTACGTGGTTCTGTAGCCGCTGGCGCAGGACGGCATAGTTACGCGAGACGTCGATGATGGTGCGCAGTTGGTCGAGCGTCGTCTTGGTCTTCTGCGACACAATCTCCCACGTGCGCTTCAGGCGGGCGATCATGGACGAGTTAAGCGAGCAGATGATCGCCATCAGCGAGTCGTAGTTGTTAAGTTCCAGGCACTTGTTGGCGATCTTGACCCAGTGCTTGATGATCGCCGCTCGTTTCTTCGGCTCCTCCAGCTGCAGAATCGAGTCGGCCACCAGATGCGCCAGGTCGGTCGACAGCGTCGACATGGCGCGCACGTTAACCGCAAGGGAGCCCGTCTTCTTCATCCACTCCGTCGCGAGCAGCTCCTCGGGGAGGATGGAGCAGAAGATGCGCGACTCCTTGATGGTAAACTGCCGCGCCAGCTCGAGCGGGTCAAAGTCCAGGATGGTGATGCTGGCTTCGCCGTTCTTCCACTGGCGGAGCAGGTTGATCTCCTTCTTGCTGAGGATCGGCGCGGGCACGGGTGTGTCTGGCGGGATGTACTGTGCGGCCGCCGTGTTGGTCTTGCCCATGGAAGAGAGGAGGCGCGGCACGACAGGCGCCTGCGTGGAGGCAACCTTGTCGATGATCTCCAACAGCCGTTTACCCGCGGCAGGGATGCTGTTGCTCAGCGTGGTCTGCGCGAATCGCGTGAGGAATTCCAGCGCGCAGTCGTCGTGGTCATGCCGCCAGTGCGACTCGAGCCAGCCCTTCAGCACGTTGTACACGCGAAGGCGGACGGGCGCCGCGGCCCGGGGCGTGTCACCAATGTACTCGAAACGGTCCGCGAGCGCCTGGGCGAATTCGAGCGGAGTGGCAAAGATACGGAAGGTCAGGTAGAAGGTGGAGACAAACAAGGCGTCCGGTGTCGATTGATGCGCCGTCAGTTTCTCGATCAGCGCCCGCAGGCTACCGCCAATTACCTGCCCGTCCTTGAACATGAGTTCGTGCGCGTACGTCTTCTCCAGGATGTTGACCTCGTGCTCGTCATTCTCCTCCGCGAGAGTAGAGTAGCTAGTGCTTCCCTTAAGTGAAGGAATGGGGGGGCTGCTGATGTCCGGGGAGGTTGCCCGGGTTGAGGTCTGGGAGACGCCACTCATCTCCGAGTCTCGCAGACGACTGGCGTAGGTGAAGCTGCTACCGGTGCTGGTCACGCCGCGACCAAACGACTCGGTCATCTCGGACTTGTTTGAATGGCTACTCCCGAACGATGAGTTCACCAGGGTGATATCCGTGGAGGAGAAGGAGAGCTGGTCGACGCTGGTCGACAGCATGGCCGTCGAGGGGAGGGAGGGGAGGTCAGAGGTGCTGCTCTGGTTGCTAGATCCACCCAGTCCAAAGCGGGACTGGAAGGAGGAAGGAGTGATGTCTTCGGTCAGGCCTGGTGTTGGGGGCTGCGAGCCAGTGGTGCCAGGAATCTCGAGCGGCGGGGGTGGTAGCCGCAGGGACAGCTCGCTGGGTTTCTCAGACTTGTTAGGGTTGTTATAATTCGTGTTGCTGTCATTGGTGGTAGTAGTAGTAGTGGTGGTGGTGGTGGTGGTGTTGATATTAGTATTATGATTATGATTAAAGTCAAAGGTACGCTGGGGTTGCGGAGTGGTCACATCGGGGAGGTCAGTCGAGGAGGCAGCGTCCGCAGGCTCGATCTCAAAGTCCCCCGTTTCCTCGAGTACGATACGTGCCTTGGCGATGCAGTTGCCGGCGGCGCGCACGCAATCGGTGGCGGCGTCGACGAGCCGTTTCCCTTCGTCGGGCATGAAGACAATCTCCTCGTCGACGGAATGAGGGGGGCGAAAGGCGTCACGGGCGGCCTGGACCAGCTCGGCGAGCCGCTCATCCATCTTGTCCTTGGCCAGCATCAAGGGAGTGCACCTCTCGCTGTCATGTTCCGAGACCGCTCCGACGACCGTGAGCAGGGCGCGACAGGACTGCACCGCCTGTTGGGTGGTGACGATCAGCTCCGTAGAGGAGCGCGACTGGAGATGCAGCCCAATGAAGGAGCCCAGGACGCCGAGAAAACCGTCGTAGGTGCTGTTGAGCCGCTCCGACGCCAGGTTGAAATTGCGAGCCACGCCCGACGGCGCCGAGTACGAGACCCGGTGGGAGACACGCTTAGTCTGGACGGAGATCGGTCGAGGCGGCGGCGGGTCATGATGATGGTTGTCGAGGCGATTCGAGGCTCGGCTAAGGTTGCCGCGAACCCGATTCACGAGCAAGGGGTCCTGCGATTGCTGAGTATCAGGGGACAGTTCCATGGGTTGGGCGCTGCTCGGTTCGGAGAAGTTGAAGGAACTCGACGCGGGAGTCAGGATGCTGTCACTGGTTGCGGCAGCCTGGCGGGATTGCTCAAGCTCGGCAATCGTGCGGCTCAGCCCTTCCTCTTCGTTCCACACGTCGAGGAAGCGAACGCCGCGGGTGACGATGCGGAAGGCCTTGAGCAACATCTCGTCGAGGATGCAGTCCACGTCGTCGTCCAGCGAGATCCCGTTGGCGACGTCCTGGAACTTCTTGGCGGTCTTGACGAGCGACGACAGATCGGCGAGCAATGCCTTGCGGTTGCGTCGTAGCCCATCATGCTGCCTCACGAGCGGCGACTCACGGGTCAAACACTCTGATTTTTCCTGAGACCCAGGTCAGCATCACGTGTTCTAGATCGACATTTACGGCGGACTTACCAAGAGAAAGCGCACTCCGGCAATCAGGCCTCGCATGAGATCCTGGTTGCCAAAGTCCTTGAGAGAAGAGCCGCACCCGCCGCGGATGATGTCCCAGAAATCAGTCAGGGCCTTCAGTAAGGGCCGCATGGGCACCTGGTCGTAGGCCTCGCAATAGTTGGTGGGCAGCCAACCACGGGCGCCGGTGTCGAGCAACGTGCCGTCTGCCCAGCCATTAGTGTGCACAGAGTGAACGAGAATGATATCCCCGGAATCCAAGGGCAGGGTGACGGTTGAAGGCGAGACGTCGCCAGAGGGGTGAAACGGGTAGAAAGCACGAAGGTAGTTGTGGAAGACAGCACGGGGGGGTTCCGTATTACGATCCGAGGTAGAATCTTTGGTGGCTTGCGGTGTTAACGGTGGTGTCAGCTCACGCTGGCTTTGGACGGAGAGCTGATTGCCGTAACTCTCGCTGGTAGTGGTGAAGTTGATATTGATGATTTTGTTGTTGTTGTTGTTGTTGTTGTCACTGGTAGTGGCGTTGGAATCGGACGACGCTGTCGGCTCCGATCTGCTTTTGATAATCTTCAGCGGGGCGACGTGTCGTCTGATTGACTCCATCCTGATGTATTTGCGGTATGCTCCCAAGCTCTCTCTCTCTCTCTTTCTCGCCCAGGTCACCGACCGGTTGCGTTTAGGCGAACGAGAATCCAAGGAACATCCTCACCCAGTACCATCCAGAACCAGAAATCTGGAGACAGTCGAGGTAAACCCCAGAGTTGATCGATACCAGATCTTTCCTTCTGTGTAGATAGTGCTGTGTGAAAGGTGGGAGTTTTGATTGTTGTAGTTTGCAGAACTTGAGATCCAGGTCAGCAATAGGAAAAAAACAAAGAATAAGAGAACAGCTCGACTCTGCGCCAACCTGATGTAAGCAGATGCAAAAGAAAGGTATGAAAGTTTGTGTACGGAGCAGTGCATTGTTGTCGTGGGAATGCCCGATTCCAGGGCGGCCGATGGGGAATGTTGTGGGGGGGGGAGGGGAGGAGGAGACGCTCGGTTGTTGTCTTAGCACGTACCACACAGGTTGATTTGGGTGTATACAGTAGGTGTTTCTTGTCCCAGACAAATCGAATTGACTATGGAAACGAGCGATCGTGGAGCCCTGTAAACAGACCAAAGTGTACCACGGATGGATAAGACCCTGCCTATCAGGATGGGAGGATGACGATATGCTATGCCTGTCTCGGACGGGCGAATTTCGATTGTGTGTCTCTGTATGGTCGAGTCTGAGGCGGTTAATCTCCTTGATCACGGCAAGGAAGACGCAGATAAGGTGTGTTCGATGACGGCGTTTGTCGAGGTCGGAGGCAGGACTCGAGACTTGCGTACACTGTACACAGTCACGCAAGGGCCAACAGGAGGGAGAGGAGGGCCAAGGCGGGAATGAGACGCTGCAAACCGTGGGGTGAGCGATTGCCACCAGCAGCAATGACGGAGAAAAAAAAAAGGAAAAAGAATCGTTAAATCGATGATCTAAATCGACGATTTAAAGGAGAAAAAAAAAAAAGAGCGAGGGAGGGAGAGAGGAGAGGGGAGGAAGTAGAGGAGCTCAGCATATGACAGATGGACTGATCCGTGACTGCTGCACCAGAGCTGCCGCTCCTGGACGGGACGACGATCCTGTCACACGCTTAGCGGTAATTTACTGTACTAGCCAAATGAGACACTTACAGATGATGTTGTTGTTATTATTATTATTATTTTCATTATCTTTGGATAGTATTTTCTCATTCAACATTGATTGAACCAAGAAAGTAGTATTTATCTAGTTTTAGTTGGGTTTATTTTGATGTTCAATACGACATAGTACTTACTCTTCTGACATTCTATTACTTGAATGATTGCAATATAAACTGGTCTGCAGAATCGGTCTCGACTCAGGCAACGGTCAAGTCACAGTACTAAGTCATACTAGTCGATACCGATACAGCGATCTACAATATACAGTACGGACTGTCCCAGGTACCTTCTTAGGTAGGTACCTGGCTATAGTGTGATTCTGTTTAATTACTACTATAGATAGGATATTAATTACTTGACCATGTACCTACTACCTAACATAATAACTAAGTAAGGTACAAGTACCAGTCTTATATTAGAACACTTGCTACCTAGGTACTAGGTAACAGGTAGTTATTAAATAGGTACGAGTTAGGTAGTTGATACCTGTAAACTCTGTAGATACAATATGTTCTGTACCACACTGTCGGACCAGCTAAAGCTTCTACTGATCCTAGGTGCCATCCTCATCGTACTCCGTATATACCCACCAGCAGATCTGCAGCCCTCTTTTTCCTCTTCTGGTGTCTGCTCCACCGTTCCTGCGGCCTACTCGAGTAGGAAGCGAGCCGGGTCCACTGGTGGTTAGCATGATAGTTAGGTAGGTAGTGACTCCATAGTTCCATAAATAAAGAGCCTTACTTAGTACACTACTATGGAGTGACTACTACATAGTGACTAACTACTTAGTTGAGGGAATAGTTAGTGTATAATACAGTAGACTCAATAATCATCCAGTTGGTATATAGTTAGTATTAACTAACTAACTAACTACTAGTATCTTCATGACTCAATATACTTTCTATATTTTCAATAGACTATAGTATTAACTACCTAGGTAGTGAGGTAGTAGTAAACTAATCTTCTACTACATACTATCTTTAACCAAGTATTTATATTAATATACAGTGTTTTTAATCTGGATAACTACCTAGGTACCTACAGTTAGTTATGCGTACCTAGTACCTATTCCTAGTACCTATTTCTAGTACCTATTCCTAGGCTTAGTCTACCCACCTCTCGGTATCACTAGTTAGTAGGGAGTAGTACTAATACTCGGCAACCACTACTATTTTATATCTAGCCTATCGCCTATCGCCATCGAAATCGCCCATCGGTGTTTTTCATCGCCCCGTCTTCATTGCGTGCGCCAACATCCTGGATGGGTCCCGTCCTGAAATCGCTGTTGATCAATGGAATAGATATCCCTTCTTTCTTTGTTGTCGACTTCAATTCTACTACATAGTATAGGCAGCTAAATAAATGATTACCTATCAGTCAGTTGGATACCTCGGTAACTACCTAGGTAACATGTACCTAGGTACCTAGACTACCTAGTTGACTGGGATTATACTTAGTACTGTACGATCCACTGGTCTGGGTGGACGAGTAGTATTCTATTATATTCTGTACTACTCCGTAAAGCTCTTTGTTGCAATCTGACGGACATTGTACCTGTCCAATATTGGTTTCTGCGGACAAAGAAGTAAATCTGGAGTAGTCTATCCAGAGTGCCTACTAACTACTACCTAGTATTTCAAGTCAATACGAGGAATACTATAGTGCTTGACTATGCGTAGATAGGGCCTTACTATGTACCTGTTAGTAGTAACTACTCAAGTGTTGAGTGTATACGTACTACACAGTTACTCCGGTGCCTGAATTATAGGTTGTACTAACCAACAATAGAGCATGTAGTTACTCAGTAACCAACTATAATTAATTAATCAATGATAGATGATAATATTCCCCTGGAATAACGGCTTGTCAGAACGTGCTTCAAGGCCCATATAGTGCTCAGTGCGTTGCCTAGTTAAATGAAGTACACGTGCTCATAACGGTATGCGAGGCTAAGCTTAGCCCCCCCTGAAGTTGGGTGCGATCGTCCAGGTCGAGTCTGAGTCTGGAGCGATGAGTCTGCGCCGTTTTTTTTTGGTGACTTGTGTTTGTATGTAGTACTCCGTATGTGTTGGTGTGTTTTTGGGGGTTTTTTTTTCCCTTTTTTTCTGAAAAGGATACGCCGACAATCCTTTCCACTGCAGCCCTTTGGGGCTTGGGAGAGGGCTACTAGACGCTACTCGCCATACCCGCTCCTCCCGGACAGCAAGTGAGAAGAAAAAATTCGGGGTTGGTGGAGCGAGAAATGGCCGGCTTGATGTCAAAAAAAGGAAAAAGGCATGGCAAAAGTCCCTCTTTCCGAAGGGTTGGGCCGCCGTGTGCCGCGCGCGAGATCCCCACACCTCTAGGCTATCAGGGGTAAAAGAATAACTAGATAGTAACTAAATACTAAGTCATTAGACTGGCTAGTTAACTAGTTAGTTACTAACCAGTGCTGCCGAGTCTTCTGAGTATGTAGTCTGTACTCCGTAGTATTCCTTCCATCACCGGGACAGTGGAAAGTGGACACTGCTTACTGATACTAATGAATATAGAGTCAAGGTTAGAATTTGAAGAACAAAGCTGTCGGGGTTTGCCACTCACCTTACTACATAATAATAAATCCCGAGAGATGACTTCCACTGTTGCCTGCCAAAAGTGTACCATACCGTACTGGAGACACACACACACTTGTAAGTTGTCTACCTAGTAATCCTCCACCTCTGTTCTTTGTACATACCTCCGTACACCACCTAACCAACTAGCTATCTAGATTCCATTCCGTTGCTTATCCTGGCGATCCTGTGTGGACACGGGAAAATGTGACGGGAAGCCTGCGTCTTGCGTCAGTCCGTGGTGGCTGAAGTGGGGAGAAGGGAGAAGGGGGCAGAGGAGAAAATTGCCCAGGCCTCGAAGGGCTCGAAGAAATTAAGACTCTCAACTTGACACACGCCGTCGACCCGTTTGCCAACATTTTGGGTCGTGATGTGTCGTTTGTTTACTTCTTTAGGTAAGTGTGCTCAGAGCGAAAAAATAAGGTGATGGCTTGACGCAGATGATCGTCGGCTGGCTTCGAGCAGTTGGAATTGGACGGAGTACGGAGTACCTCACGGAGTGGACGTGGATTGCGTCGGGACTAGTCTTTAAGGCATCAGGCCCAGGCATCTAGATTAGGTGCCTTAGTGCCTTGCTAGGCCTTTAGTGGCCTGCAAGAGACTAAGTTAGGCAGGTGCCAGAGTCGGAACCGGGAAGACAGGAGAAGATCACGTGGTGGTCACCTGCTTGAGTCTGGAGCATTGAAACTTGCCATTGCCATTGCTTAGCACCTACTGGCAACTGCTCGATACCACTGACTGCCATTACCCATTGTCACTGCCATTATCGCTGCTCGGAATCGCCATCTAACCAAGGATCAGCATGGAGCACGGCTGGTAATAGCTTCCAGCGATGGTTGGTACTCTGGGAAACCAATACTGCCTGTCCCTCGGTGCATCGTACTAACAGATGCGTTAGGCGGGTTCTAGTATCTCGATCGTCGTCGGTGTCCCAGTCTCCATCCGAATATAAACCACACAATCTTTGATCGGAGGGGTCTCTCAAGAGCCGATCCTAGTTACTGTCTGTATGGAGCAGGATCCCAGTGGAGAGCTTCAGAAGATCGGCTCTGCGCAGGTCTAAACACTACCGCTTATTGTTGTGGAGTATGCAGGCCGTGTCGGTGCATTGCATTAGTATAGAGTAGCTGATATTTAGCTACTTGGTCTATGGTGAGTGAAGTATACTCTTAGTGAGGATACTCTTAAAGCAACGCTCAGAATCATAATGCTGTTCCCAGCGGCTTTGGTTCCATGGAACCAGTGCGGACCAATTCCACTACGAAACTGTACCTGAACGCCGATCATTGTCTGTTCCATGGTTCCATCAAGTCGGTAATCGATCTCATAAGTTATAATCCAGTAGTAGATCATTAGCTAATAGGTAATTAGTAATATTTCAACCCGTGCGTAGCATATGCTACGATATAATCTGATATCAAGTTCAAACCTGAAGTTCAGTATACAGATAGAATATACTCTTATTCTTCATAGCTAGCTCCATCTAGTCAACCCTGTCGTCCACGTTCTTATGTAGTACTGCAGGGGTATAGGTATCTACATAGATGGATGATACCTTGTTTAAAGGGATTACTTCCATATCAACGCGTCGTACCATTCCATCTCACATTCCAACACGTCGTCCAGCAACATAAAGAGAGCGTCATCCAGCTCCAGTTTCAGACTGAATCTAATCTCATAGCGAAAATCAGTATAATTGTCATCACTATTATCCAAGTAACCCATCTACTATCTTCTATCTACTATCTACCATGAAGTTCCTCCTCTTCACGCTGTTCGTCGCCCTTGCGGCCGCGACGCCCATCCCTTCCACCCAAAATGTCGAAGCCGATATTTCTGCTCGGTCGAGTCCGCTGGATACAGTCACGGGCGTCCTTGGTGCATTGGATTTGGGGGGTGTAGTATGGTTATCCCTTATCCTTGAAGAAAAAGAAGTAAAAGCTAACAGGGTAGATTTAAATCGGAATGGTTGGAATATACTGTTATGTTATGTGAAGTGATGAAAAATAGGACCTTGAATGATAATATACCATTTTCAATTACTTTGTAGTAGTATAGAACTCTAGAACAAGTATACCGAAGTAGTCTAGAACATCCCCTCCATATCCAAGTCAAGGAATTCAGGATTCCCAACAGCCATATCCGCCGCAGTGAGCATATCGTCCAGACTCGTCTCCAGTCCTGCCCCGGTCCCGTCCAGCCCTATCGCTGCCACGCTGCCATCGGTGTTATGCTCGATCCCTGCAGCGGCGGCAGCGGCAGCAGCAGCAGCAGCCTTGTCGAACATCTGGTCGATGTTTTCTGCCCCGTCGGGCTCGAGGTTCATCTGGGCGTCTGACCCGTCCACCCCGTCCAATTGCATGGTTTGGATGATGTTGCTGACATCCAGATTCGAGACGGGCACGACGGGGACAGTGCCCTCCACTTGCACTTGAGAGGGGACCGTCGTCAGCATCAAGTGGTTGACGCGGCGGAAGAGCCGGACAAGGACTTGGGCGCGGAGCGGGTCCTTCTCTGCTAGTTTCGCGATCAGGTTGTGCTGCTGTTTTAGTACGTCGCGGAGCGTCAGCACAGGACACGGCGGTAAGGGTTCTTTCATTGAATCGTGATGATGATGGTGGTGGTGGTGATGGGAATGGTACGCAGACTGCTCGACCGCGAACGACTCGGCCATCGGCGCACAAATCATGGTTGCGGCAATGTCTAGCGCGATATCTCCGCTGCCGGTTTCGGTCTGTAGCTTCACCTCATCGACGAGGGCGGGGAGGACCCGCGCCGACCCCAGAATATGGATTCCCGCCAGCAGCTGGCGGTGGGTGTAGGAGTGCGGCGAGATGGTGATTTCCGGGTTCGCGCTCCAAAGCACCAGCGACTGGAAGGTGCTGCGGATGCTGCCCAGGAGACCCGAGTTCGCGTGAGTGGTCCAGGTGTCTAGCTCGCTGCGCCGGCAGGCCCCGATCCGCTGAAACGAGACGTATGGCTCTAGGGCGTCGAGGATGGGCTTGATGTCCGACCGCGTCGGGTGCCGGGCCCGAACATCCTTCAACTGCTCCTCCAGCGTCTGGGCGGTGATGTTCAGCACCGTTCGGTGGATGGCCTCGGCTTCTCCCGAGATCGAAGGCGGTTTCACCAAGGAATACAGCGCTCTCAGCGGGATGGTTGCGTCGCTTTCGGATTCCCAGATATGATTGCCCAGCCAGGTTAACGCCACAACCAAGGATGGCAGAAGGAATGGTTCAAGGAGATCTGAAGATCAGTATAGGCCAAAAGAAGAGGAAGGGGAGGGGGAGGAAAGACAGAAAAGAAAGAAAAGAAAAGAAAATTCTCAGCTTACATTCAAAACCCCCTTTTAGGGTCTCGAATTCTAGCTTTCCTGCCTCACAAGCCCCCAGACTCTGGCTGAACAGCGTGCTGACGAGTTGATAGAACTCCTGCGGACTGCACGCCGACATGGTCTCCTCGCTGATGCCCTCTGCGATGAAAAGAGCCCCGATCCAGCCCCCCAGATTCTTGTTTTGCTGTTCACTGAGGTCGTCCAGTTTTTGGTTGCATGATGCGCGGTCCAAGAGCCGCAGGATAAAGGATCCGGGGCTGGTGACTCCAAGATCGAACGGAGTCAGGTCATACCGGTACTTGAACGCCAGCACTAGTAGCAAGATACTGCCGAATTCATCATAGACAGGTTGGTTTTCGCTCTGGTCCTCGTCCCAATGCCACGAGTCCAACAGAGAGCAGATCGGCTGCAGGACCTGCTTGGGGCTCCGAAAGAGCAAAATGACATCCAACGCCTGCGGGCGACGAGACAACGAGTTGCAGATATTCTTTAGTGTCATTGTTTCTTTTTGAGTGCAGAGATTGTGCATGACCTATTTGAAAAAAAAAAAAAAAAAAAGAAAAGAAAAAGATCAGCTTCGTTTTGAAGAAACGGACTAGGATACACCGGTAGTAGTGACCGGGTGGTGTTTACAAAGAGCAAGGATATATATAACACACCTCGGTGATTGCTCCCACGATGGTCCCGGCGTTGCCGTCCATTGATTCAACCTCATTGATCAATTGGTCGGCCCGTTCCGGGTTGGCATTTATCTGGGCGACCAGCTCGTCTTTCATATATTGACCTCCGACAGGGAGAGTCTGCATCGGGTTCTCGCCCAGCAGGCGTTCGATGCTCGACTCCGGGATCAGGCGGTGCAGCGCACAGGCAAAGAGGAACTCCTGCCGGACATCTGACAAGACGGTGCTACCTTGCATGGAGAACATTTGAGAAAAGGAAGGGAATGCGTTGGGGTCTATACGACCCAGAGCGTTGCGGATACACATCTCCATCGGGACCATCGAAGTGGCCGACATGGCGGCGAAAAATGATGGGAGCTTGTTGACGAGAAACGAGCGGAACAAGAACATCGTCCTGCTAGATTCATTGCGGTACATTGCATTCGACAAGATATCGAAGGCTGCCGTGATGACCTCTTCGACGAGGAACTCGTAGTTGCCCTGTTCCGGAGTGTCAGTGTTTACTGTGCGTGCAGCCTCTCTCTCTCTCTCTCTCTCTCTCTCCACTTACCCCATATCGATTATTGAGATAATTGATTAGCATGCCGTCGTCTACCAGCGGTCGTCCAACAAGCTTGAATCCGTTAGCCAAAATGGGTTACCATTAAAGAGGGAGGGAATTAGGGGGGAGGGGATACCATAGCATTAATATATATATATAGACCAGCTCTGGAATTGATAACTGGTCCATCCATCACAGACGCCTCGAATTCTAGAGCATTAACATTGATACTGTCTATCATCGTGACCTCCATCGGTTTCCTTGTGGGTTCTCCATAAAGACCAAACTCCTTCTGCAGACCATCCAGTCTGGTTCGAAGTGGAAGAGAAATCCGGTCGCAAAGAGGAAGATAAGAAGAAAGAGCCTTTCCAATCTTTATCCTAAGGGCTATAAGGTCAATATAAAAAAAGAAAAAAAAAATGGGTAGAGCACCCGTCAAGACCTACAAACAGCTTTATAAAAAAAAACAGGACAACATACCTTCGTGGTTGTTATGTGATAGAACGTCCAACCCCCTTTTCACGCCCGACAATGCCGCCAGGAGAATACCAAGCGATTCAAACAGGGAGATGGCATCCGGGCAAGTTATCAACCCGCCAGTCTGTTGCTCTTCGTCCGAAGTGTTGTTGTGCCAGTCGACGAGGGCCATGATCCAGTCGACGATGGCGGCGTACATTGCCGCGGCCTCGGCCGTGGATTTGGGCAGAACACCCGTCGAGACCAACATCATTAGGTTCTGCAGGACCTTGATGTCAGTCATGAAGGTACAGACGCCAGACGCAGGGCCAGGCTTGTTGTCCTGTTTCTGGGGCTGGCTTCGACTCCCGTTCTGCTGGTCCCGAATGGAAGCATGTTTCAGCAATGCGGCCAGCATGATCGAGGGACGTATCACGCCAGCCCTACACAAGCTGTCAAGATAGAGCGGTAGCAAGGGGTCGAACTTGAGCCCCGTGGCAGCCGGACAGGCGAGCAGGAGATCGAGCAATGTCGGCTCGGCGATGGGGATGCGCGCCACAAGTAAGGAAGCGAGATCCTTGAACTCGGTGACTTCGATGCGCTGCACCAGGCATTTCTGGAGAAAGATGCTCCATGTTTCTTCTGGAGACCCCATGGCGGGGGCGTCCGTATAGGAAGGGGGGGGGGGGGGGGAGTTTGTTATATATAGTACTGGTTTGTTTGTCGTTCGATATTCGAATCACGTGTGATTAATAATAAGGATTAGGAGTCTACGAGTCGTACGGAAGAAGTCACGTTATCAGTCACGTGTGTTTTACCACGTGACATTGTGGTGGAAAAATCAAAGATTGGCAATGGTCCGAGCTGTCCGGTAGTTGTATCAAGCAACTACTGATTCAATGATAAGCTTATGGTCGTCAGCCCATTTGATCCAGCAGATCTTGCATGAGTATCCTGTACACCTAGCTCTGCAGGTACCTTGAGTCTCAAGATAAAAGAGTACCTAGGTACCTAGGTACTCCGTATCTCTCCGTATACTCCATTGACCATTGTATATATATATATATATATATATATATATATACGAAGTATAATAGAAAGACTCAGTATAATCAGATAATACATACTTCTAAAGACTATTCAAAATGGACCAGTCATGATTGACAGTGCGGAATTTGGAGAGTGGAAAAAGTATCCGACGGAAGGGCGGAATTTCGGATCGAATTTAGTACGGAGTAACTACTCCGTACCTGTATGTAAGTACGAAGTCATTACGGAGGACGGAGTTAGTTACGAGGTTAGGTAGGTGGTACCTCAGACGTCCGGCAGTACTAAACTAGTTCTTACTATTAGTATCTACCTGAGGTACCTAATATGTAATAAGATATAGGTAAGATATAGAGAAAGATTAAAATACAAAATACCTAGGTACGTAGGTACCTTACATATGTACTCTGTATACTAAGGCAGTACTCCGTACCCACACTCAGCTAGCCACGCACTGAATCATTTAAAGAAAGACGACGAGAGGCTCGAAAGCTCGATTCTAGCGAATAAATCGCTAGAGCATCTTGAATCCTCATTGATAGTGAGGTACTAACCATCTGGCTAATTAGCTAAGTAGTAGTGCCTCAGCCTATCAGCATGCAAAAGCCCCTACTAGGTAGATACCTTCAGTAGTACTCACCCGTACTCTATAATGGCTCGTCCATACAGAGTTAGGGGAGATGGCTTTTTTAACCCCGATGGAGGTGCTCGGAGTAATGATTTAGGTACTAGTCTACCAAGAGAAGTCATCTAGTCAGTCTTATTGGTCCACTAGTCCTTGGTTAGTTCACTATAGTTTAACCAGTCAATCAGCTAGAACTGACTAGTAAAGAAATCCCCCCCCCTTAGAGAATCGCCACTGTGGCGAATCTGGTACGGGAGTAACGGAGCCGGACGTCCTCCGAGGCATCAATCACACTCTAGGGTACCTTGAATTTTAACTATCTAGGCAATAACTAGTAGTTATCAGGTACCAGACTGTACCTTACTAACCCTACTAAACCACTACATAGTTAGTTATCTACTCCGTAGGTACCTAGTACTCCGTATAGGTACCTACCTAGTGATCCATGGATCACTGGTGACTGGACAAGGGAATGTATCTCGTATTGGAAACCCCTTGGCTGGTACTGATTGGGCATTCACTGGACATTTCCTGAGGAGTATACTAGGTAGACTCTATCTAAGATGTTAGCCACCCAGCTTCTTCTTGACATACTCTGGAGAGTAGGCTTCACCTGCATGTCACCATGATATAATACTTGAATAATACCGCTAAATAGAGAAAGAGAGAGAGATATATATACACACAAGAATGTATTTCATATGGCTCACATAATGCATATGCGTAATCTAGTTGTCTCATGGCCAGGTATATGTCAGGTATACATAGCAGGGAGAGTGATTCACTCGGGTGGTGACCTAGGTACCTACCTAGGTACTGCCTACCTACCCCCTGGAACCGCGCGACCGCGACGCCTGCGACGATGAGTCGTGGAGTATGTCTGGAGCCCGGGGCCCGACCATCCAGTCCTCCATCGCCAGCCACTCGCTCCAATTGCGCTCTGCCGTCTCGATTTCCGAGTCCAACGGGCCCTGAAGCGGCCGTAGGAACGGGATCGTCTCCAGCGGCGGCATGTCGTAGTCGCGCTTGACGGCCGCCCAACCGCCGCTCTTCGCCGCGAACAGGTAATTGCGCCGCTCCTGTTCGTGCAGCGGGCCAACCCCGGTGCCCCAGTCATCCCCAAAGAAGCCGTGCAACACCCCCGGGAAATCCATCCCCGTCGCGACCAGCCGGCGGATGTACGGAAATAAGGAGATGCTCGGTAGTGGGTGAGCGGTCGATGTTGATGATGCGGGCCCAGTCCCGACCCTGGGTCCTGCGGAAACTGCTGGCGTTGACGCTGACTCTGACGTCGAGTTGAAAATGGGATTCACCGGCCGCTGAAAGGGTAGCTGGATGTTTAGAAAAGCTGATAGGGCCTGGACGGCCACGCTGTGCTGTGCCTGGTCGAGGAAGTATCGTTGACAACTTTGATAGCGTGGGTACCACTCGAACATGTCGAAGTTGGTGTCAGACGCTTCTGAAAGGCCGATCATGGTGGCCGGGTCAAAATGAGATGATGAATTCATGCTGCTCCGAGGGAAAGTCCGGGACCTGGGGGTTCTATTGTCCAGTGCTTAGCTCGACCAGTTCTCCGCCACACAGCGCGCGCTCTCTCTCTCTCTCCCTTCCTCCATCTCTTTTGACTCGAACAATTGTCCCGAAAAAGATGGGCCGGGGAAAAAGAGGGGGAAGAGGAGAGGGGAGGAGGAGGCAGGTAGCTTCAGGGAAGGATACTTTAGATTTAAAAAAAAAGTCCTACCTCGACGGATTAGGGAAGTAAGCCTGGGCCGAGGTGACGGTGATCGGGAGTAGAGGCCTTGTGTGCCAGAAGGAGGAGGCTTATTCACAGACATCTGCCAACAGGAGTTGGGCTCGACTGGAGGTCGCAGTTCAAGCCCCCAACGGGCAGGAATTTAGGATTCTTCATTGACAGGTAAGCAGGTTGAGAAAATAGACCGGTGGGTTTGGACGGGGAGGACGGAAAGGGAAAATGGCAAATGACAACAACGTACATGGGTCTAAAATACTGCTGGTAAAAAATACCACAAAAAATAACATGAAAGCCCCAAATGGAGAATCGGAAAAAAAAATTAAAGAATATTAGGAATTAGCAGGGAAGCCAGGAAAAAGAAAAGACATATATATTTAAAGGAAGAAATCAAAATAAACACGAAAATAAAAGGAACTAACAGAGGAACAAGATCCAAAAAAAAAGAAGTTGACGAGGGTATTTTGAGAAAAAGAGAGAGAGAGAGAGAGAGCACCGAGTATCTCGCTGTGGACCAGCTCGGGGAAAAGACATACGGACTGGTTGAAACGAGCAAAGGCTCAGTTACTTACCTGCCAAGGGCAAATAGCCTCGGGATTATTCGTATGTAGAAAGAGGCCCAGATGAGGGAGGGGGAGGAAGAGCAAGGCTGGTTCCTTGAAGGCCAGACACAAAAGACGACCCTGGTAGGTAACTAGTAGTTAGTTGGTACTCCGTAGCCGTGGTGGTTAGAACGCACAGGCAAGGCTGGAACCATTATTGTACAAGGCATGATGTCGGTGGTCGCTGCAATCGCGTGTCCAGCATCGGTAGTGGATACCTGGCTTTCTTTTCTGATCAACAGCAGATATCGAGGCGTGCAAGTTTGCCCGCCTGATTGGTGACGATGAGCCTCTCTAGTCTGCAGACCGTTCGGTATGGTATCACAGGAGTGATACTGTCCGCTTACGGGCCCGTCGTACGTCTTTGTGCAAGATCATTCCATGGTTGTCGGCGGCTTGCCCCCCAATCCCCCCCCCATTCTTTTCCCCCCTCCCCGTCTGCGCGATACGGCCAGGCTGACCAGCGCTTGGTAACTAAGGGAGGTAGTAGTGGTACCTAAGTTAGTCCTGTGTCTAAAAAAAAACCCCAAAATTAATAAGCTTTGTTTTTTGGGGGGAGGGGGGTTTCTTTTTTTTTTTTCTTTTTTTTTTTCTTTCAAAAAACAGAGACCTAGAGATGCAGACGGTTCATCCCGATTGTCAATGTGTGGAAAGTCAGACAAGTCAGGCTGGAGTCCCCTAAGAGGGATTGTGCTAGCAGTTGCGCATAGCCCCTCCACGCCCCTCGTTTTGAGCCGTCGTCCTCCCCCAGAAGCGGCGAGGGGTTTGTGTGTGTCCTGGTATGGAGCAACTTCCCAGGCAGGCTAGGAATCGGTGAAGAAAAGGGCCTTGAGAGAGACTGGCGCTCATTATTGGTGGTAAGGCCGATGCGTCTAATCAAATCAAACGTGGCCGAGCGGCAAGTTGCCCTGCACGTTACAGGGGGGGAAGGGGGAGGGGGCGAATGTGAGGATGAGTCTGGTGTGTAGATGCTTGTGTGGGAGCGAAGACCAGGAAAGAAAGTCTACGAGGCTCTCTCGTTCCCGATCAGCTGGTCAGTCAACGGTTAGTACCTTAATTGAACAGGCAGGCATGGGAACACCCAGATCAGACAGTGCAGGTGCAGTATGTGTGTGTGATCTTGGCTTTGAGGAGCAGGGTATGTAGATTGATTGATTGACACGGCCACGGCTGTATTCGCTTCTTGTCCCGGCCGGCCTCGGGCAGGTTGTCTGTCTGACATCTTGCTGTGTGCTGACCCATTGAAACCTGTCCAGCCGCAACAATATTTGTTTCCCTCCCCCGAAATGGGGTTGAGTTGGGTTGACAGACAGCCATGCAGAGCCCGCACTTCTAGGAGAATAACGCAGAGACGCCACCAGTGCGAGATACTCCGTATTGTGCAATGTGCAGGCCAAAGAGTCGGTACAGTTCTCTCAGGTCTTCGCTCAGCTGCAAGGGAGCGACCAAGTCCGGAGATCTTTCCCCTGCAATGTATTCCGTATCCGTACCTCCACAGCGTTGTTCCATTAATTATTTTGATTAATATGAACCATTCGATTACGGAGTATACATAGACTCCGATAGACGACACTGCAGACTGGTCAATCAACTAACGAGTCAATAATAGTTAATAACACATAATAATATAGCCATAGCACGGTGCGGCGCTGCTCCGTGAGTCCGCAGTCTCGGCCGGTCTGGGCCGCGGGAGGGGGGTTAGTTACCTGGCTCCCCCAAATTTGCCACAGCGTATCTGCGGTTGCTCTGTCCTTGACCCTGCCATGCAAGGCCAATTTATTGCTATTGTTATCGTTGGTTATTATCATTCTTATTATTCCACTGGCGACAGCTGTGGGGAGGTTGGTGGTCAACAGATTAGGTATGCATTATTGCGAGGGTGTCGAGTTTCTGGTGGGAGAGAAGAAAAAAAAAAAAGGGCTGCCTACCGTTTTACTGACCGCTGCTGCTCTTTTGGGACTGAGTCAAGGTGGGAAAGAACGTCCCTGTTGCTTAGTCATCGGAGGGCATCACTGAATCCTGATAGTCAGAGGTGATTATTGTTATTATGCGGTGAGCAAGCAGGTTGAGCACGCTCACTCAGACGCAGATCTAGGTCAACTATTACTTATTCTTCATGAGGAAAAAGAAAGAATCGGCAACCTGCATGGACTCCCTCAGGGAGTACTCCTGGTACTAGATAGATCAACTTAATGCCTGCAGGGATGCGTGTTACGACATGCTGGGCTTTTTTCAATTCCTGGAGCGGAGAGATATGGCCAAAGCGCCATACATTACCTTAGGTGCCTACCACTAGCCTTACTATGACTAACTGCAGTTGACCCAACTGATAGGAACAGTACAGAGTACTCCGTACCTACCCCGTACCTAGGTAGAGGCTAGTGACCTAAATCCGTACTTCGTACAACTTACAGAGTACTGCCCATGCTAATCCTCTGCCATTTCCTGAAGGAATCTTCTTTTCTATTCTATTGCTCAGTTCCCACGGCTTTTCGTTCAGCCAATGACCATCAAACGACCTTAATAAAACGCACCGCAGTAGAGTGTCCCTCAACACTGGTTGATCAAGCCTTGATCAAGGTAGAAAAAGTCAGTTGTTGTACTTTGCATGAACAGCTGTTCACGGGTATCTGAAGTTCTGCTCCTTAATAGCAACTAACTATATGATAGTTAAGAGTTGATAGCTGTTGGTAGGTACGTAGTTACTATAAACTGTGGAGCTGGAAGAAAATAGCTCCGAGTCTACTGTTGTTTCCTGCCTGAGGAAGCAACTACTCCGTACCAACGAGTCACTACATAAGAGATATTCCGGAACTAAGGTACCTACCTACCTAGTCATTATCATCGGTCTCAAGACTCTCTTTATGTGTCCCCTCCTCTTCTCTGGTTCCATAAGGGACCCAAATCAGGTACTTCTATCTCCCTCGACTACCCAGAAGATTAACGAACACGACCATCAGATTGACAATCACAATTACCCTCTTGTGCTTGTCGTATGACTCTCGCAGAACAACTCTTCTAAGACAAGGGATATGTATCATGCGATGCCTATATGCAAATAAATCCCTTACATCGAGACAGGGATCGATAGTCCTGAAATTCGAGTTTCTCGTCTATAAACTTTCACAAAAAGGGCCCCCCTCCGCAAGCCATAATTAGATACAACCAGAAACATGGGAAGATAATACAAGTTGGTTGTCCTTAATAGGGCTTGTCAAGATTCATCCATCTCCTATGAAGGCGTGAAGTACGTGTAGTATGGTGGTACAAACCAGTATTGTTGCGGACCTTGGAAATCAAAGATCAGCAGTGCATCATCGGGTTTCCTTATACATAGTTCCGGTAGATCTCCTGTACTCTGTACAGTGTATGTATGAGGTGCCTCTGTTCGTTACAGACCCACAGAATCATGTACGGAGTACGGAGTATAGTAGTAACTCTGTAGTTATGGAGTATTCGATGATGAATCTCGGATCTTCGTCAGTTTCAGGTGAATAACTACAATTTTATCGACAGTTAAGCAGCCACAGACAGCTTGAATAGCACCACCATCTAACTCAATCATGCAAATCACCAACCACAGCTTCGTCGAGTATGACGAAATGCAGAGTTAGATACTGCCTGGTACCTAGCGGCTGAGGTACCTAGTTACCTCTCACTATAGGTAAGTAGTAGGTAGCTAAGGTAAGAACCTAGGTAAGTATCAGCTGTTAGGTAACTATGTACTACGTTCATACAGCAGTACTTCTACCCTAACTGCCTCTAGGCTACAACTGTGTCCACCTTCTTTCTAGAAGGAAAGCGATTATAGGACCGCAAGTTTTCGTTGGGTCCTAGACACTCAGAGCAGGCAGTACTACTCTGTACAGCTCGAGAATGGAGCGTCACGTTGTACGAGGCACGATTGTGGCGGTAGAGTCGTACGGCGTGGAGTGAACTGGACAGTGGACACCGCCATAAAGTCCTCGATAGCAATGCAGTGCTGTATTCCAGGAAAAAGTCTTCTCGGGGGATTCGGATTAGGTAGGAAGATTCCCAGTTGAGTAGATCCAAGTCTATCAGGAAAATGGACCAACGAGAATGTTGACTTAAATAACCGAGTCTTGTGGATTTATTTTTGATACTATACGCAGATTTGAAACAGAATGGTCGAGTAAAATAGCCTCGGTTCCTCGAGCTGTGTACGAAGGAACTGATATCAAGGACAAGGAGGCTCATTGTTGTGTCGCGTGGTGCATATATTCTCTCTAAAGGCTCACCCATAAAGCTCTAATCTAGACATCAATCAGAAGTAAAGAAGATGTGTAGACCAGAGACATGTTCAAAGAGAATAGAGAGAAGAAAATAAACAGATAGGGAGAAGATAAAGGGAAGGTCATCTCACACTTCCCCTCTTCTAACATTGACCAAAAAGGGATAGCCCCCGATTGATAATAAAGTAAAACAATCTGATAACGGTTTCGCCGCCGCGGGGTTGCTGGTTGCCCAATGCAGCTAGATCAGATCTTTGACACATGCTGACTACTCCATACTGAGTTTTTTTGCGTGTCGGAGAAACGGGCGGAATGCCCTAAAGTTACGTGGGAGGAGCGCCGGGGGTGAGGAAACACCAGGGGGGTGGGTAAGACCACCACCACCAACTACTAACTACTGCCTAACTACGGAGTACTACACCTACCACGGACTAACATCGGAAGAATAATTTATTGTCTTTTGGGGGTTCCTTTTCTTTTTTTCCCAATCTCCCGCTTTCGGCGCGCTTCTATTTCTCCTGACTCACCGGGAGCGCGCAATACCATTCGACTGCCACTGGGATCAAGATAATTTTGCGGGATGCAAAAAATCCCACCGTGGGTCCACCGCTGATAAGACCTGAAGATAGCAATCTGTGACCTTAATCGATAAACTAACACGGGCGTCCGCCCCGAAGTTCGGCCTCCTGCGAGGGTGGCCCCGCGGACGACCGCCTTCTCAAAACGGACAGGCAGGGGCACCGCCAAACATTTCGCCGGTCTTTCCGCTTCTGCTCGACTTCCGACTCCGGCTTTGCGCCTCTGGGACTTATCCCGCCCTGGGACTGTGGGAGGTTTCGAGGGTACCAGGTACCGTGGCTTGATCCGCCCGCCACCTGCTGGGGGGAAGAATATTAAAACCCTCTCTTTTCCCCCTTCCCTCTCCCTCATTATTCCTCCCTCTGCCTTTGAATTTTCTCCCCAAGCAAGATAAAAGTTTTTTTAAGATACCCGTCAAAATGTCTAACCTTCCCGTCGAGCCCGAATTCCAGCAGGCCTACAATGGTATGTCAAATCAATCCCCCCTCCCTCCCCCTCTTTCCCGCTCTTTCCCTCTCTTTCCCTCTCTTATCGTGTGTTCTCCTTTGCTGACGTCCTGTTCCTACAGAGCTTGCCTCCACCCTCGAGAACTCCACTCTCTTCCAGAAGAACCCTGAGTACCGCAAGGCCCTCAAGGTTGTCTCCATCCCCGAGCGCGTGGTTCAGTTCCGCGTGGTCTGGGAGGATGACAAGGGCGAGCTCCAGGTGAACCGTGGTTTCCGTGTTCAGTTCAACTCCGCCCTCGGCCCTTACAAGGGTGGTCTCCGCTTCCACCCCTCCGTCAACCTGTCCATCCTCAAGTTCTTGGGTTTCGAGCAGATCTTCAAGAATGCCCTGACTGGCCGTGAGACTCCTTTCTCTTGGAAATTCCTTCTCCTTCCGTTATACAACCATATGCTGACTGAAAAGTGAACATGGGCGGTGGCAAGGGTGGTGCTGACTTCGACCCCAAGGGCAAGTCTGACAACGAGATTCGTCGTTTCTGCGTTGCCTTCATGACTGAGCTCTGCAAGCACATCGGTGCTGACACCGATGTCCCCGCTGGTGACATTGGTGTCACTGGCCGTGAGATCGGCTTCATGTTCGGCCAGTACAAGAAGATCCGCAACGAGTTCGTTGGTGTCCTGACCGGCAAGGGCCTCAGCTGGGGTGGTAGCTTGATCCGCCCCGAGGCCACCGGTTACGGTCTTGTCTACGTGAGTTTTTTTTCCCTCCTTTTTTTTGAATTTAAGTCTGACTGTATGGTAGTACGTCGAGCACATGATCAAGTACGCCACTGAGGGCAAGGAGTCCTTCGCCGGCAAGCGGGTTGCCGTCTCCGGCTCCGGTAACGTGGCCCAGTACGCCGCTCTTAAGGTTCTCGAGCTGGGCGGCAGCGTCGTCTCTCTGTCCGACTCCCAGGGCTCGCTCGTCGTCAACGGCGAGGGCAGCTTCAACGCCGAGGAGATCGCCATCATCGCTCAGGTCAAGGTCGACCGCAAGCAGCTGTCCGAGATTGCCTCTACTGAGGCTTTCAGCCAGAAGTTCAAGTACATCCCTGGCGCCCGCCCCTGGACCCACGTCGGCAAGGTCGATGTCGCCCTCCCCTCCGCTACCCAGAACGAGGTTTCCGGCGAGGAGGCCGAGGCCCTGATTGCCGCTGGCTGCAAGTTCATCGCCGAGGGTTCCAACATGGGCTGCACCCAGGCCGCCATCGACACCTTCGAGGCTCACCGTGAGACCAACGCTGGTGCCGCTGCCATCTGGTACGCCCCCGGCAAGGCCGCCAACGCCGGTGGTGTCGCCGTTTCCGGTCTCGAGATGGCCCAGAACTCGGCCCGCCTCAGCTGGACCACTGAGGAGGTCGACGCCCGCCTCAAGGGCATCATGGAGGACTGCTTCCAGAACGGCCTGCAGACCGCCAAGGAGTACGTCACTCCCGCTGCTGGCTCTCTTCCCTCCCTGGTGGCTGGTAGCAACATTGCTGGTTTCAAGAAGGTTGTTGCCGCCATGAAGGAGCAGGGTGACTGGTTCTAAGCATTTTTGCTTTCCTCCCATGACTTTTTATAAATATATGTACATAGATTAGATTATGACTTATGGATTTTCAACGCATGTGATTCAGTGTAACGTAGACCGCAACACTAAGTGTATTGTAGACCTCAACCTTATATTATTAAGTGTAAATTTCCAACACCAACGCTATGCTAGGGTATCTAAAAATGATAAATACACAAGAAGTATATATCTATCTATATATATAGTCAGTCATCGCACAAACGGATATCCTGCAACGGATCAGGAACAAGAGTGCGCGGGGAAGCCAAGACACCCGCATGGACTGGGATCTCCTTCTCGCGATGAACCGTATTATTGATAGGGGTAGGAGAAGAGGGGACAGGGATATTGTTGTTGTTGTTGTTGTTGTTGTTGTTCTCTCCCCCCGAAGTGGAAGGGGAGACAACACGACTTCTCCGCCGTCGTCGACTGCGAAGATACTCGTTCGGGATGGGGTCGACTTGTTTCCTTGCCGCGGGGACGAGATTGAGATAGACAGGAAACACGGCGCCGGCAGCATACAACGCGACGAGAAGGAGGTAGGAGTGTTGGGTTCCATGCCACGAAAAGGAGGCGGCGTATTCCGCAAACGGGAAGAATGCACCGCCCCCAATCGCGACAGTGAGTAGGACGGCGGCCGTTTTGGTGTGTTTGCCTGTTCCGCGCAAGGAAATGGCGAAGATCATACTGAACACGCCTGATTCGAAGAGAAACACGCAGATCCCCATTGCGGTGGCGGTGGAGCCTGTCGTGCAGGTTGCTAGGCCGGAGAAGACGATCATCCCAATGTACGAGGCGAGAAGGATCCAGCGGGGTTTTAGGAAGTATTGGGACAGAGCGGCGAGGAAGCGGCCTGCGGCGAAGACGGAGCGGCCGATGGTTAAAAAGTCGAAGTGGGAGGTGGATGATCTAGTTAATTAGTTAGAACTGTACAAAATGTACAACTGGGGGGGG